TGACCACCATCAGTGGTTGATGGTTAACAGATCTAAAATGAAATGTCAAACTGTTGCAGCCATTTCCAATATCTTATGAGATGGTTCTAAAGGTTTTGAGCATGTTATCACAGTGTATTTTTGCCAGACTAAAAGCGTGATAACGTTTTATCATAAGAACTTTTAACTTCTACCATTAGATCTCATATTGCTTACTTAGCTTCTATAAGCTACTTCTGAATCTTCATACCTGGTTGCTATAGCAATGTTGTTACTGTAGCAACAAGATGTGATGACTTTGAACAGAGAGATAACACACGGGTTAACACATCAAAATCCTTGTAAACAAAATGCGATTATACGATGGGATCAAACACAAAAGAAAGATGAAAAAAGAGAAAATAGATAGAATTGAAGTCTAGAATCATGTTGTACAGACCCTGTATTGTATAAAACACCAGAAATTTAGACATCAATTTCAATTTTTCAGAGATATTGTGTTAAATCCTTCTGCTCAGATTGACCTTTGAGTAACAGGTTGGCAATATCCCAGCCAAAAGATTCCAATGTGGTCGTGTTTTCAGTTTACACCTCAATGATTCATGGGTTCATTGCGCAGTCGATAATTCTGGAATGATAAATAAGAGTCTGATTTTAGCTCAAATATTCCAGACGAGACAGGATTTAGGCAAGTTGAGATCTCAGCAATCGGTATTACGCAGTAACATTTCTTTTTTATCTCATCTCAAATTGGTTTAATTGGAAACTCAGCCGGCCATAAAGCAACAAGGGGCAAAACATAACAAACAAAATTTAAGCCACACAACCAATGTACAAAAACAATTTTGTGAAATAAAGATGTTATACAACAACCACAAAGTGAAAAATATTCTTATGAGAAAATTTAAAAATAAAAATTCCATCTATCAGTTTCATAATGTTTTTCAGCTGGATCATCATTGCAATGTACCTTAACACTAATTATTAAATTCATTTATCTTATTTAACCATACCAATTCCCCCACCCCCTGAACAATTTTTACTGTCACACTTATTATATAAATAGACCCTAATGAATTATAGATCACTGAAATATGGTTACTTTAGCAAAAATAGTAACAAATTGCAATTTTTCAGTTTGAGTTAAAAGTTTCATACATATTGATTTTTGATACTAAATTTTGATTTTAAAATGAGTTTGATATTATTGCTAATAATTCTAGACTCTATTATTGTTACTACTTGTGATGTCTGACATTTTTACTATTGCCAAAAGATAACATGAGAAATTTACATCAGTAATAATTTTGATATAACTGCAGTTAGCCCTATTTCTACAAATAATTCTGTGTTCACCTTAAGCTGAACTAAGCTAACAATTTCACTTGGGTGAGTTATTTTGGAGCATGGGATTATACTTTCATCATGTTCTGTATGTTTTTCTTGCTAATGCCTTTCACTAGATAGCAACATGTCAGGATGTTAAGATGAAGGTATTCTTAGATTATACGAATCTGGAAATTGCTCATCATCTTGTATGATTCAAGGTAGTTGAACCATGTACATGTGAAGATGGAAATACAGAGCCATACAGGAATATGCCGTATCATATCACCCCATTCATTATAATCTAAAAAAGATTAAAGATAGTTTAAAGACGTATTAATAGGATTGGTATCATAGATGGTTAAGATATATATTTGATATCATTGATTCATTCTTCTCTTAGAAAATCAGTCCAACAGGATTAGGCCTTGAAACTGTTTAACTCAGAATCAGTGAAATAGTACTTAAAATTAAAAGAAGCACAATCTCAGAACGCAAATCTGAAACTTTTTCACACAACATGAACAATCTTATCTCTTACTCTAAAATAAGGCTTATCTTTGTATATTTAGCTATTACTACATGTATATGTAAACAAAACATTTAACAAAATGTATGTTGACAAATTTTACAGTTGCTACAATCAAATTATTTTGAATTGAATTAAGATTTCATTTAACTCATAGTTCTAAACTTTTTTTTCAGAATTCGAATTAAAAATAACCACTCAATCTCGCTTACCAGTTAGATTTTCAGTAGAAACCTCACATCTTGAAATCCAAGATATTAACCACAATCTGACAGCATTGGCTTCAAATCATGATGAAGAAAAATTACACCTTCTCGTTTTTTAATTTTCAACTTTTTCAGGTAAAAATGATATGTTAATAATTTTTTATTGCAAAAATATTGGGGAGAGTTTACCATAATGTTATTTACTGTGTCCCTTTAAATATTAATATACTGTAATAAAATGCCACGATTAGCTATATTTACTACATGTATCTAAACATGTCTGAGATACCCTTTGCATTCGTTTGACTTTACTTCTTAAAAGAGAGCTTCGTCTTCACTCTTTCAAACTAAAATAAACCTGTGAACTCACCGCGCCAATCAGTGTTCGTCGGCCAAATTTGACCGACGTTCTTTATATGGTCAGCCTGGAATTGACCAATGACATGTGCATATTTAATTAGAACGCATTTGGCGTATGTTTCTTCAAGCTTGCTGATTGGTGGAAGGTCAGCGCGTAGTATAGGTCAAAAGTAATTTACCCAAACTGTCACCGGTACCCGTTGTGGGGGCGGGGCTACTAAACTGTAATATGGTCTCTACTAGGCAGAGTGTAGTTTAACTAGACTCTGCACGCAGGGTGTGTCTGAGATAAGATTACATGTACATGTAGAATGCAAAGAACAAATCAGATATACTCAGTATCCATGTCCCCAACGATACAAGGTCAGTTGTATGTAACTTTTAAACTTAACTTACAAGTTCGGATCACCATAGGTTGTTGGGAGGTATAGATTGGGTTGGGATATCCAACAGGCTTTTTATCTGTGGAATTTAGAAATACTGAGAATGCACAACTTATGACTGGTTACTCTATAGGTGTAAACCAGATATGTGTGTGTAACTACCAATATTGCGTACTCATGGGGTTTTGGAGGAATGTGTGGCGAGTTTGTGTGTCTAGCAGTCTTTCTATCTATAGAATGAAAGGCTAGTGAGTATTTGTGTCCTCATGTCAGGTCATATGTACATGTATATGTACCCCCTCCCGTATGGTTAGAAAGAATGTGTATAAAGTGAAGGGGGGGGGTCATGCCTTTCTTGTTTAAATAAACCATTATGCCTTCCTTACAAACAATAAAGAGGGGTCAGGTATATCAGAATGGTTGTAGGGATATTAGGTTTTAAATGTTAAAGAAGAGTGAAGAAAAACCAAAATGTCTCAATGTCATTTGTCTCCCAATTGTTTTTGTGTGGTATCAGATCATAAACAGATCATTTAAAAAGGTTTCCCAATGTTTTTCAATGCTAAGTGTTCTACTTGAAGTAGAAGATTGATAGCAGATGAAGAATATATTAGTCTCAGTTTAGTAAAGGTTCACAGAGAATCAGTTGTTTCGTTTGATATTCTGTATCAGAAACAATATTTAATTTAATTTTTATTTAATTACTCTTAATAAAAGTCTAGTCTTTCTCAAAGTGTTTTTCCAATTTTAGTTGTTGGTTCCAATAAGAAGTCAATCAGAAACAAATTTAAACCAAGACTTGCCCGAATAAAACATTGTAAAATGTACATGTATATATAATGCCATAGACCAGAGAAATTGAAGAAATATGTCTGTTCATGTTTCTTCATAATTTGAGGATTTGATTGAAAATGAGGAAGACTTAGTAAAATCAAAATGATTGATAAGGTATCTATCATTACAAGGAACAGTCTGACTGTAGAGGTTAATCTAAGTCAGCTCAATTTAGCCAAATAATGAAGTTGGAATTCCTTGATTAAGTAAGTGAGATGATTTCTTGTATATGCCAGACCAGAGGAAACATTTCTGATAGAAACTTGCAATGAAACCACCATCTATCCTGAAAACTTTCATAGGTTAAACAAACTCAGATAGTCAATTATAGTTTTGTAAGGAATTATGATGAGATTTACTTCTGAGAGTTTAAGTGCGATTCATGTTCCAATAACTGTTGCCTTTGCCAGCATCCAGCTGTCTGTTTTCAAGTGGAGCTAAAAATACCTGAAACTTCCGATAATCCAGTGAATCAGAGTCAGAGTTTGAGCTTCTTTACCTGCTTAAAGTTCACATTTTCTTGTTTTACTTCTTAATTCTTCCAGATAAGTCATATCATGTCGAATGTACTTTAGAACTAAAAACTTCAAAACATCTTTCCCAATCAATCCATTTTCGCTTGATGAAACCAAGTTATAGAAATATCCTGAATTTTTGGGAATACTTTTTGTGGAACATCAATCATAATTTTTTGTTTATGTTTTCTTACTTTGAACTTTCACATGTTGGTCTGATACTGTAGGAAATGAGTCTAAAAAGTTTGAAAATGGATCACCCAGTAAGAAACTTAAAAATGTTCTTAATGAATTTCTTGCATTTTTAGCTTTGACTGATTATGATTCAACGGATTATCATAATTGTTAATTGCTAATTGTTTTCAACATGAGGAAATGTTTAAAGCTTGTTTTATATGGTGTTTGAAAAGTTCCAGAAATGTAACTGTATTTTGGATTTCCTGAGTTGTCACAGTGCTCCCAAATCATGCATTTATTTCCTAATCAATAAAACAAGCCACAACAGTTCTACCCCTGTAAGATACTGTGCAATTGGAATAAGCAACAATTGATTAAGTAATTGTTATTCCAGAATCATAAGTGATTCATTTCCAAAATTGCCTCAAATAGGAGTTGTTTCACACTAAACTCTATTTGTCAATTATTTTATCAACTGCAATGCTACCTTCCCACTCTTATTGGTGAAACCAAATAGACTTTACGATTACATTTTAAAAGAATAGGGTTACTCTAAACAATGATTGTCACTGCTTTTAGTTAAGAAAATAGCCACCAACTCATTAAATGAAATCAGCCTCAATAACACTGGAATAAGTTCATGTAATTACAATATACATGTATATATATTTTATTATATTTTTATTTTCAGAGCCATGAGTGGATCAGGGTGCGTATACAGACCATGGAACCAGACCTACTGGACGTGGGTTCCAACCTTGAGGAAGCTCTACAGCTGAGACAAGAACATGACGACCTACTGGCTAAACTACACGTACGTTCAAATTCTTAATTCTAGCCAGTTTAATATTTTGATGTTCAGGTATGGACTGTGTATTGATAGTCTCATCTCAGAAAGGAGAAGTACTAGCCATCGTATATGGGAATGGTCCAGAGATGTGATGCAAGACTAGAATTTGGGATATTGTTGTTAGCAAGATTCTTGTTCTGGTTCTTGTAGCTCCATTGATAAAGGTTTTTCTTTCTGGTTTCTTCAGCCTTATCTCTAATCACCCTATTAAAAGATGGCAGTTCTGTAAATTGGATTTAATACTCAATCTCTGATAATCTGATTGCGAAGCTGCATATGAATATATGGCTGTTTCATTCATCTTACTCCAAAGTTAAACTTATAAGAGAAATATATTAGATGGGCCAGGGTTTATCAGAATCACCTTACTCTGGGAGGCTGGTGTTCGATGGTTGGTATTCAGCCCCTATAACAAATGGCAGGTGGTGACATTTTGCATGTTACTGCCTTGTATCAGTTTTCAATTTAGAACTTGTCTAGCCACTTTCTAGGTGATTATTTTAGCCAACCTAATACTCACAGAGGTTACTATTATCAATTTGATGATGGAAATAGCTGGCTGTTTTTTCATATTTCAACAATTTTCAAATATCGGGGTATTTTAGAGGCTGAGGCACTTTAATTAGCTCCCTGTTCTAGTCTGGGATTAAAGAGTACTTTAAGATAAACAATTTACCTTTAAATACAGAACTACATCTTGTTCAATGTAAAACAAGCTGATTTGTGTAATAGAACAAATGTTTGCAAATTCTGTTGACTTAAATTAGGTCTTTATACATGTGCTTATCTGGTTGGAGTATTTGGCTAAATAAGCTGAAATGATCACAGAGAGTTTAGATCAATGCTAGACTAAAATGTCTCATATCTCATATTTGATATTGAAAAATAAGAAATTAGGAATACCTCTCCTTACAATAAGACAATATTCAAATAAAATATCATATTTATGTACTATTGTCCAACCTTTTATTAAAGATCAAAAACATGATATGATAACCCAAAATGATTTGAACCCATTGCACCACCATTGTGCTTTGGGTTCATGAGTCACCTTTAGAGTTCTCAATATCACTATTTTCTATAATAAATATTTGTAAGCTATTGATTGATTTGACGGATAAACCTTTTGACAGGTTAAGAAAGCAACCTATTTGTTATTTATTTTTCTAGTATGCTAATCGTTTTAAAAAGCTTATGTCAATTTGTATGAGGCAGAAGTTTGAAATTATATGCCAAAGGTAATATTTAGTTTTTATCAGCAAATTAGTCTATGCTCCTCATCGAAAGTTCCTTTCTGTTTTTTTCTCTTTTTACATATAATGTTTATTGTATCTCCTTATTTTGATAATAGGTGAGATTTTTAAAATAGACTTGCATCTATCTGAAAATCTATTTGCACCCATAAAATTGAAATCTGACAATTTTGACAAACTTTGGTTGGAATTTTTGGGGAATTTTGCTCCTACTTGAGAAAGCAATCCAGGGGAGAATGCAGAATGGGATTTACCTTATTAGAGCACATAATTTTCCATTTTTTGGGAGGTTGAATATCAATACATGCATGATATACCTGTATTTATTGTATTATTGTGTAACTGCAGTCCTTTTTGGAATGTAGCTCATTATCCCTGAAGGGAGTTTACAAAATTTTTATGAACTCTGTAGGTCATTTCGTCTTTGAATGTTAATACTCGTATTGATGTCAAACATTTATTTTAGAGTACTGAAGTTTACATTTAGTCAACAATGCAAGAATATACCCTTAGTCCAATGCATTACTATCTAAATACTGTCCACAATGTCCCAAGCTTTTCAAAGAAACTTATAACATAATATGGTGCATTCCACCCAGTATTTTACCAGTTAGATTTTTCTCCGACCAAAAGTCAAATCTCCCAATTTGCTCAATAGGAAGAAAAGGCACAAGAGTCCAAATACGGAATAGAGGACTGATTCTAGAAAGAGACATGGTTGTAAATAGAAGTTAATAGAATTAGAATATTTTATAATTCAACATAAAAATGGGAGGTTGTGCCAGTTGCAAGTCTGGAAAATCACACTCCGCTGATTTTTACATGCTAACAAGACCTGGCGATGATCCGGTAAGAAAAACATTTGATCCAAGTTTTATTAAGCTATTGGTAGACTTATCCAATGTCTAAACTCCAAGAGTAGTTTTTGACTAATGCTAAGAGACAAACGATGCTGGTTGTACCAATGGTATATAGGCAATGGTTAGGCTTCAAGTCTCTAGATATTCCCCTTTGTAAAAACTGAAATTGATGTTTTAATGCAAACATTGATTTGGAGTTACTTTTATTTATACCAATCAAAATGATTTTAAAAAATATCTTTCACTTCCAAGATCTACTTCTTAAGCCAGCATTACAAGTTAGATATACCCTGCGAGCAGAGTCTAGATCCAAGTTTTATTAAGTTATTGGTAGACTTATCCAATGTCTAAACTCCAAGAGTAGTTTTTGACTAATGCTAAAAGACGAATGATGCTGGCTGTTCCAACAGTATATAGGCAATAGTTAGGCTTCTGTCAAGTCTCTAGATATTCCCCTTGTGAAAACTGAAATTGATTTTTTAATGCAAACATTGATTTGGACTCAATTATATTTATACTGTTGGGTCTCTACGAAACGATGACGCCAATATGATACGACAAACTTCAGAGTTCAGAGTAACATACGATACTTTATTATATAGAGTCAAACTACACTATCTATTTACAGGTTATATACTACTGAGCTACTGTACTGACTGTAAAAGACCCAAATCGTAACTGCCAGGGTGAGGTTTCGAAGCCTCTTATATAGTACTACTATTGGCATGTTGCCAAACCACGATTGGCAACCTGCCAATGACCAATTTGGCAAAGTGCCAATGAAACTTAATGATCAAATTATTCTAAGTTCTTACTGAAATGTCACTGAAAATGGTTAAGTCCAACTGTATGAATGATTAAAATTGTCTAAGTCATGAACCACTGGTGTTGAAAAATGACAAAGTCCAGCCCCTTTGGTTGGATGCAAAATGTTTAAGTATTGAGATACAAGCTTGTGAAAATAACAGAGTCCAGCTAGTCTGGTTATGAGAAATGACTAAGTATTGCCTATGTGATGAGTGAAAAGAACAGAGTTGTGGCTTTTGGCTTCAATGAATCTGTTAAGTCTTGATGCACAGCTATGCTGCCATCTTTATGTATGAATTGAAACCTGGCATAACTTAGAAAAACCCAACACTATCTCCCACTAGTCATGTGTACTCCTGGACACATTGGCAAAAATCAAAAAGAAATCAGTCAGTAGCTCAAGTTTAACAGTTATCAATTTAACTTTAAACTAAATATTTATACTAAACTCAAAAGTCCAATACTAAAAATTAAATCACTGGTTAATGTCTAAATGCCTCAGGCAATATGTTTTCAACATATAGGCAAAGTCACTCAGTCAAAACATTGCTTTAGTTGAATGATGAATACAAATGTTGATGTAACACCCTGTTGCACTTGATAACTTATATTGGGTGACATAAAACATTAAGATACTTGATCTAATTTAATGTCATAGAACAAAATTGTCCTGTTCAAATACTGAACATCATGGATTATTGGATATGATGAATGTTCAAAGCACTGAACATTTTTTAAGCACTGGAATTTTGTTGAGTTCATTATAACTTTGTTCAACACACTGAACATTGAAGATAAAATGGATATCTGCTACTCAACACACTGAGCTTTTTCTAAAATATAATGGATATATATATTACTCAACACACTGAGATTTTCAACATGATGTTGATGCTCAACACACTGAGACTAATATAATGGATATAGGTTACTCAACACACTGAGATTTTAAAGTATGATGTGGATGCTCAACACACTGAGACTTATTAAGGTAATGATAATTATAAATTATGTTTTTAGAAGTCACTTCTTTTCTAAAAGTGTTCTTGAGAATGCAATAAAGGCATGGTCTAGGTTGTGTTGCTGGCCAGTGGAAGTTTTGGTTAGGATATTCTGGTACAAAGTTTCAATGTCATGTTGGATTGCTTTCGTCAGCTCGAGATTATAATTGGATACTCTGGAGGTATAGTCTTGTAACGCTACATCTATGTGTGCTTTCAGGTCTGTGGATTGTTGCTCACAGACCTGAACAAGCTTGGAGCTGAGGTGGGTGATTCGCTCTTCCAGGCTGGATACCCTCTTGGCTAGTTGCGAGCTTTCTTCGCTCTCAAGTTTCCTCTTCCGGCTGCTAGTAGTTTGTGGAGGGTTAGGAAGACTGGAGACCACCAGTTTCTCCTCAGGGACGGCTTTTTGCTGAATGTGGGGTGGGCTCTGTTTAATAGTATCTTGCATTTCCATCAATGCATTTATGGCTGCATCGCTTTCGTCTTGTAATGGGGTTGGTGGCCTTCTGGTCGATGATTTACCCATCTTAGATTTGCGAAGCAGTTTCCTCAGGCGCTGGTTAGACAAAAGTGGCGCTTTTTCCTCAATAATTTTGGCAATGTTATGATGATGAATGTTTTCTTTATAGTAATCTACTTGTAGCTTATCAACTTTTGACTCCAGTCTTAACTTGTAGTCTGTGTCAAATTGCCCATGTAGATTTAAATGATTTTCTAATTGAGATTGTCTTTCAAAATTTCTTTCACAGTGCGTGCAGTAAAAGTCTTGGTAAAACCAAGGTAAGTGTGTGTATATATGTAGAGCTAGTTGTCTGACTGAATCGAAGTTTTGAGAACAAAATGAGCAAGTTATTAGACAAATGTCATCTGTGTCCTCGGCAGGCATCATAATAATTGGACATATGAGAGGTCTGATATTTATACCTTCCTCTGTCAGTTGGTTGGCTAATTCATCTCGGAGGAGGTCTTGATTGAAAACTTTTGAAGTTCAAGATAATTGTCAGAATTTATGTAATCAAAGGATATAAATCAAAATTGAGCATTCTCACATGAAAGAAAAGGAAGACTAAGTGATTTTAATCTCTGCCCCATTCACGCCAAGTCGGACTGGGGAATGTCTCTTCCTGGGACTTCTTCTTGTCGGCATTGCTTTCTGAGTAATGCTGTCTTTATCCTTTGTGGTTGAAACAGGATAGGATGTATTTTTATTATGACGCTTTACATAACATTGTTGAGATTGTTGTGATAGTTGATTATTTTTCTGCTTTGATGCCTTTGAAAGCCCTGAGTCAGTATTATGTGTGGTCGACAGACCGAGAGTTTGTGTGAATTTTAGCTTTATAGGTAATTTTTCTGTGTTGCAGGCAATGTCCCTTGACTCAATTTTTCTTAAAGGAGAGTTCAGTTTTTCTTGCAGCCTCCGTGCCCATTCTGGAATTTCATCACTCTGATAAGGTTTTAGTCTGTCATGGTGTAATATCTTTGATTTACCCTTTTGGGAGATTTTGATTTCAAATAATAGATCGCTCAATTTTCTTGTTATCACACAAGGGCCAACCCAATTTTTGGATTTTAGTTTTGGGCTCAAGCCAACCGTTTTGTTTGTGTCCCTCATATAAACTAGCTGGCCTACTTCATAATTATTGACAGAGAGTCTTGTATCGTGATCTTTCTTTTGAGTTTGCATGGATTTCTTTAAATTCTCCCTTACAAATTGGTAAATGTCAATCAAGGTATTTCCCAGATTAGTCACATATTCAGGCTTATTTTGATCTTTGAGTTCTGCAGGTCCTCCCATAATTAGTTCAATTGGTTGTCGACATTCTCTACCAAACATCAACAAGTTAGGACTGTACCCTGTACTTTCGTGTTTACAGCTTCGATATGCTGAAGTAAGGAGGGGGATATGTTTGTCCCAGTCTTTCTGATTTTTACTAACATAGGAAGAAATCATGTTGAGAATAGTTTTGTTTATTGCTTCAACCATTCCATTTCCTGGAGCATGAAATGGACTAGATCTTGTCTTTGTGATTTCAAAAAGCTTGCACATTTCCTTGAACAACTGAGCTTCATAATTCCGCCCCTGGTCGCTATGAATATCAAGTGACAGGCCATATCGTGACATAAATTCATACACAATTTTATTTGCACATGTTTCTGCAGTAAAGTCAGGTATGGCATAGGCCTCAATAAAGCGAGTAAATTGGTCTTGAACTATAAGGACATAACGATTGCCAGAATCTGAAACTGGAAATGGCCCAAGAATGTCAGTGCAGATTCGATCGAGTGGGGCACCAGCACTGTAACACCCAAGCTTTGCACGAGCCGGTCTATTAGGTTGTTTTCTGGCACCACATGTAACACATTGGCGCACCCAATTGGTAACTGAGGTTCTCATTCTGTACCAGTAAAAATGTCTCTTAATTTTACTAACAGTTTTCTTGACACCAAGATGAGCAGATACAATTGAATTATGCAGTGCATGTAAAACTTCATTTTGCAACACTCTGGGCATAATTAGCTGCAGGTGAGACTGTACCCCATCTGTTGATAGCCATCTCTTGTAAAGAACACCTTGGATTATAACTAACTGATCCCATAAAAGCCATAGTTTCCTTGCTGCTGGACTCTCTATAGCCATCAAATCTCTACTTGGACGCTGTCCAGGAAAAGTCTTTAAAACACAACCAATGTCAGGGTCATTTAATTGCATGTTTGCAATTTCCCGTTTCGTGTAACCCCACTGATATTCTTCAGGTACCTCTAACTGTTTAAGATTACTTTCTGTCGTCACATCAAGAATCTCTTTCGAAGTTACAATATCTGGAGAATTGTCTGATCTCCCACTAAGCTCACTGCTAGGTGGTCTATACAAAGGTTCTAATAAACTACTATCTTTAGCCTTGATTCTTCTAACTGATTGAACTACACTAAAACATGAATATCTGATATACTGAACTACAGTTTGTGATGCTGAAACTACAAATTGCTTTGTGCAGCACAGCATCATGGTTACTAACATCAATAGCTGAAACACGAAACGCCTCACTGGACATCTAGTGCTTTCTGCAATTGTAGTTACTCTTCTTATTTTACTAGAGAGTGGAACCACATCATCAATCTCTGCAAAGTCTGACCATTTTTGATGCTTTTTGGTACAGTCTTTGCAACCGCCACATGGCAACTCTTCTAGCATTGTCCTACCATCATAACAATCACACTCGTCAGGATCACAAGGGTTGCGAGATAATGCATCAGCATTTTGATGTTTGGCTCCAGGCCGATGTTCAATGGTAAAATTGTATTGTCCCAATACTTCTAGCCATCGAGCAAGTTGGTCTTCTGGATTCTTGAACCTGAGCACCCATACTAATGCATTATGGTCTGTTCTGATGAGAAATTGTCTCCCTAGTAGATAATGACGAAACTGCTGCACGAAAGTTACAATAGCAAGAAGTTCTCTGCGAGTAACACAATAGCGTCTCTGAATTTTGTGGAGAGATTTACTGGCAAATGCGATAGGCCTCTCCTCCATTTTTCCCGTTTTTTCACACCACTGAAGTTGAGATAGAGTACAACCTATACCAGTATTTGAAGCATCAGTGTCTAAAATGAATTGACCCTCATCTAATGGATAGGCCATTACTTCATCACCAGTCAATGCTGACTTCATGTCCCTAAATGCTGATTCACATGCTTCAGTCCACTCAAATGTTCGTCCGGCCTCTAACAAACGATTCAAGGGGCTAGCACGTGTCGAAAAATTCTTGATAAATCTTCTGTAATAAGAACAAAGTCCCAAGAAACTGCGAACATCGGTAACATTCCTTGGAGTGTTAAAATTCTTTATCGCCTCAATTTTTGCAGGATCTGGCATCACTCCAGATTTGGTTACCTTGAAGCCAAGGAATACAACTTCCTCTTTCATCATGTCACATTTTGATGGTTTCAGTTTCAGCCCTGCTTCTGCTAATCTTGTAAAGATTCCATCAAGCTGTTGAATATGTTCTTCAAATGTGCGTGACATTATTATCAGATCATCGAGATAGATGATTAAATGATCGTACAACTTATCACGCATGATTAGTTCCATGCACCTTTGAAATGTAGATGGTGCATTGCACAACCCAAAGGGCATGGTGTTATATTCATATAAACCGCTGCGTGTGCAGAAAGCAGTCTTTTCACGGTCCTCTGGTTTAACTTCAATCTGCCAGTATCCAGATTGAAGATCAAGGCATGTGTATATTGTAGAATCGCCTAATGAGTCTAAGCAGTCGTTGATGCGTGGTAGAGGGTAGGCATCTTTACGAGTGAGGTCATTCACTCTGCGATAATCGACACATGGTCTAGTACTGCCATCTTTCTTACGCACATATACCATAGGTGATGCCCATGCAGATGTCGATTCCCTGATTACACCATTTTTCAGTTGCTCTTGAATTATTTTAGCTTCATCATTGTGGAATGCTCTGGGGGGTCTACGAGGTGCTTGTTTTACTGGTGTAGCATCACCAGTATCAATTGAGTGCTGAACTAATGAAGTGCGACCAAGTTCTGTTGAATTCTTTGCAAATACATTTGCATGTTTAAGTAGCAGTTCTTTCAACTTTTTGCACTGCTCAAGATTCAAAGATTTGCAAGATTTTTCATACAACTCTTCTAGATGGTCGGGAAGTGCTGGCTCATTGCCAGTGAGATTTGAACATTCGGACTTCACTCTATTTAGGCTGAGGTTTGAATTATCATCCCTGTCAATTGGGATTACTTCACAAACAGGTGACATTTGAGCGATGGTTTCACCTTTATGCAATATTATGTCTTCTGCACTTGAATTTAAGACTCTGACAGGGAGGGGTATATCGGATCGATTGCTGTTTACCAGGACACTACCAATTAATAAATCATGGGGATTATCATAAGGAAGTGCTTCAATTATGCTATTTTTATTTTTGCAACAATCAGAGTTGATAACACCTGGCAATATTTGTTCACTATATGCCTGTACAATAATATCAGATTTAAGTGTGACCCTGGACACGCTATTGCATTTGCCTTGAAGCTCTGTACTTATAAATTGGCCATCTAGACTTAAACCATTGCTCTTGCTCAAATCATAATCATGGGCATGTAAGAAATCACTCCCTATTAAACCATCTTCCGAAATAGAAGCTATGTACATTTTATGTTTAAAGACAGAACTACCACATTTGAATTTCACAATTGAAACGCCATCAATTTTCATGAGGGAGTTGTTTGCAACCTGAAGATTGACATTTTCTGTAGGGGAATATAGTTTTGGCCTCTGATCACCTGGAATTTGATTATACACTTTAGAGGATAATATTGAGACCACAGCTCCTGTGTCAATAACAAATTTCACGCTCTGGTTATACAATTTACTATGCATTAGAGTTGTAACTCCAATTTTGTAGTCACTGAGTTTTATCACTTTCACAGATGGGACCGGCTCTAGGCCGTGAGGACCGGCCCTGTCTAGTTTTCCGATGCTTCATCAGCTTGTGAAGCCTTGCTTACCATCTTTGGTTTGTTAGAAGGCCTAGGGTTGCGATTTTTATTTTTAGGGCACTCTCTTGCGTAATGCCCCCGGTCATGGCAATAAAAACACTCGACAGTGCTGACATCTACCCTGTTGACAACTGGGTTTTCATCTCTGGGTTCTTCCGAGAATTGTACCTGTCTCACTCTGGGAGGATGTTGTATTGTCTCATCACGGATGCTGCTGTAGGTAAGATAAGTCTCACAGGCGTCATCTAAAGATGTGGCATCACGCATACCAACTGCTAGTGCTGCATTCTGGTCATGCAACCCTCGCAAAAAATGACGCAAGCCAATTGTCTCCCTTGTGAGATGGTCGGCTGTTGGGTACCCTTTCATTACCAGTCTTTTGATATCAGCAACATAGTCAGTTATCTTTTCGCTTGATTTAAGTTTACGACCTTCAAGCTCCGACAGGTATGATCTAGGGGTGCGGCGCTCACGATATCTTTGTGTCAGGGTATACTGCAACTCTTCAAAATTTCCAAGGGCTCTAGGGTTGATTTGGGTGAAAGCAAATTCACTGGCTTCACCCCTTAGGCTATTACACAACCTAAATGCCTTCTCGTGATCAGTCCACCTACATTGTTGTGATGTGGCTTCAAAGACCCGAATGAAACACTCCCAAGATCCCTTTCCATCAAACGTCATAGCACGTGGCAGCGGGACATCATATCGCGAATTTCCTGGTTCACGGGGAGGGTTCCACGGTTGCTGCATAAATGCCCCTGGGGGTTGATATCGAGGCACTTGGGTTGGACCCTGTTGTTGGGGAGGCCATGTAGTGCTGCTACGCGCTTCTTGGGATGTTGACTGAATGGGTGCCATATGAGGAGAAGGTGTGAGAGTTGGCATCGATGAAGGTATGGTTCGCATTATTGATGTACTCGTACTATCTTGCTGGTTCTGTTTCAAATTAGAAATGTCTTTGAGTGCCTGTTGTAGCTGAATTCTAAGTTCATCAACATTTCCGCGTTCCCTCGATAGTTGATCTTGCAGATCCTGAGTTGATATTGTTGACTCAGTACCACCAACTGCTCCCTCTATTGTCTCCTCTCCAGCTGGTTTATCTTTATCTTTTCTTGGCGCCATCTTGAAGTTTCTGAATTGTTGGTAGCGCTATAAGCGTGTATAAGTTCGAATCCCGTCGCTGCTCACCAGTGTTGGGTCTCTACGAAACGATGACGCCAATATGATACGACAAACTTCAGAGTTCAGAGTAACATACGATACTTTATTATATAGAGTCAAACTACACTATCTATTTACAGGTTATATACTACTGAGCTACTGTACTGACTGTAAAAGACCCAAATCGTAACTGCCAGGGTGAGGTTTCGAAGCCTCTTATATAGTACTACTATTGGCATGTTGCCAAACCACGATTGGCAACCTGCCAATGACCAATTTGGCAAAGTGCCAATGAAACTTAATGATCAAATTATTCTAAGTTCTTACTGAAATGTCACTGAAAATGGTTAAGTCCAACTGTATGAATGATTAAAATTGTCTAAGTCATGAACCACTGGTGTTGAAAAATGACAAAGTCCAGCCCCTTTGGTTGGATGCAAAATGTTTAAGTATTGAGATACAAGCTTGTGAAAATAACAGAGTCCAGCTAGTCTGGTTATGAGAAATGACTAAGTATTGCCTATGTGATGAGTGAAAAGAACAGAGTTGTGGCTTTTGGCTTCAATGAATCTGTTAAGTCTTGATGCACAGCTATGCTGCCATCTTTATGTATGAATTGAAACCTGGCATAACTTAGAAAAACCCAACAATACTAATCAAAATGACCATGAAAAATATCTTTCACTTCCAAGATCTACTAAGTTAGCATTACGAGTTAAATATACCCTGTGTGCAGTCTAGTTATAGACGAAGCTCTCTTTTAGGAAGCAAAGTCAAACAAATGCAAAGGGTGCCACTGGTAAAAAAGTGTATATCTAAATAAATGAATAAAAAATAAATAAAGGGTAAGATAGATATGACATTGAATATTAAATATACCAGAGACAAACTGAGTTATTAGGGGAGTTAACATAAAGCTATGTGGTGATTTTTAATAACGACATGATGTTTTCCAAATGAGATACAGTTATGCCATGTTAAGATTGATTGATATGTAATCCTGCTGATTTCACCTGTTCCTCATCATAACCAGGTATATAACATCATTAAAGGTATGTCATAATGAAGATTACAACATCATTAAAGGTATGCCATAACGAAGATTACAACATCATTGAAGATGCTCTCATAACCAGTGTTCCATATGCTTCACAAGATAATCTCCAAAATTACATCACCTGAATTATTTCCTTTAATATATTCATGAATATTCATTAGTTTGTGAATTTGTATACTGATGGTATGTGTTAGGGTCAATGAACTGCTAATTGGTTAGTTTTATTTTTATCATCATTTTATCATTCAAGAAAAACTGCTTATCAAGAAAAACCACAAGATATTCAAAACAACCATCTTGTATTCCCTATCCTCTAAACATTTACTTTGGCAACATTATACCATATCCCACCGTGTATTCATCTGGAATTATCACAGGGAACTGGTGTTCTCTTCTTGGAGCTAGAGGCTCACAGAATGTGAACGAAATTTCGGATTCCATGTTTTTATTTCTGTGCCAAGAGTTTATCAGTGAGCTGGGTAGATGTGTGAACATTTTCTCATGTTATAACATCAGAAATTTATCTGGAATATTTTCGCTTGCACTTTCTATATAGGGTTACATCTAATAACAACAATTTTACATTAGGATGGAATAAACTCTGGTATGTTCATGTAAGTTTGCTATAATAAAAGGTATTTCAAAAATATAATACGTTAGTTAATTAAGTTGCTTACAATGTTAAATTCTGAAAAACAATATTTTCTAAATGTTTTCCATTTGGTAATTATACTTTCTCGTAAACTTTGATATATTTAGGCATTCGGTGTCTCTAAAAAATGGTTACAGTTTTTGGGTTATTGTAACCAGGTTGTTACATTCTATCATCTTTTCTACTTTATAAAATATCAGATCATTTTGATGCTTATCATTTAATTGACTTTTTTCCTATGTATTTGCTGGAATGCCTTGTTTTGTGTCTACACAATATGTTGGAATGGATATTTTAAAAACTATGATATGTCCTTGAAAATCATAAGCGTTGAGTATGTTATTTTCTAGCAAACTCTTTACAAATATTATTTTCTACCTCCAGGCCAAACAAGAGCCAATCACAGAGCTGCTAACGCGCGCTGACACACTAGCGTCACAACAACAGAATTACACAGAGGTGTACGCAGCAATGGCGGAATCACTCGGCGAAGCCTGGAAAGATTTAAACTCCCAATTAGACTTTAGAAAAATGTTGCTGGACCAAAGCATAGAATTCCACAAAAGTGCACAAATGGTAAAGATTCTTTCATCGTCTAATAATATAACTTTTACTAAACATACAAATGAATTGGATTGAATTAGCTTTGTAACTTTGATTGTTCACCTGTAAATTATCTGAAATAATTTTCAAATCATTAGATAATGATTCATTTGAAAAAGCACCCTCTATTGAGTAAATGTTGTATTGCAACATTGTTTGTTCCGATGTCTGTATTAATCAATTAATTTGTTGATTAAATCCATGAAGTTGTCTTTATATTTTACTTTTACACAGGATTCATAATGGTGTTTTCTTTATCAGTTTTCAGAAAAGATGGCCCAAGCTCAAGGCCAATTTGGAAACACATCTTTGGCTCAAAATGTGGAATCTGCTAAATACCTGCTAGACCAGCACCAACAGCTCAAGAAAGGTATGCTCCCAATAATTGTGATGTAACTGTCTAATGCGCTTGTGTAAATGTCTTGAGTGTTTGAAGTAACAGTCTGAATAGATTATTAATCTGATATCTAACAAGATAGAGTAAGATGACATCATTTGGAGATTCTCATTGCTGGATAACTAAAACCATAAGAAACTAGGAACTTGTAATGGATGCATTTCCCAGAACGCCCAACATGTTATATGTAGATTTGAAGTAAAAGATTTGACTTTTGAACTGTTGAACAATTGTGACTACAATATATAATGTTAAATGTAGCACCCAATAATTCCAGGTACAGTCCAAGTAAATGATCTTCTAAAAATAAATATAATATATCTCTCTCAGGTTCATTATAAGTGCCTCACTGTTTCATAATAAAACTGATATTCCATTAAAAAGTCTATTAAAAAGTGTCAGAAATCTGTCGTGGATGTACATTGTATATAGAGCATTAAAAATGATCCTCAAAAATACTTAAACAGACATGTTGGCATATATAACTACTGTGCATGGATATTATTATTTAATTGCAGGCATACTTGAATCATCCATGGTGACCTTACAACAAGGCCAGGCCCTCTTAGATAGGATACGAGAGATGGGCCGCCATGCCGATGTACAGAATCGTCACGCTACGACAGCTGCGTGCTATGGTATTGAGCACATGCTGGAACTGCTCCACGACCGCAGGCGCCACCTGGAGGAACTGTGGATGCAACGTAAAATTAAACTGGAACAATGCTTGCAACTATGTCAGTTGGATCAGGAGGTCAAGAAGGTAAGGTTCCATGGACAATTTGTTGGGTTGTACCTTGTAAATTTAAACTATGTGTCAGGCCATCTGACTTTTCTCATATAATATGAGGTTATATAAAGGTTGATTCCGTATATCGTGTTTATACTTAAGTGAGTATATGATATATTCAAGAGTGACTGAAGGGAACGAGTGAATATATCATATACTCATGAGAGTATAACGATATACAGAATCAACCATTATATGATCTTATTATCCCATTCTAATCTTTAATCAATAAAAGGTTAATCTAAATTCAGCAGTTGCATATCAAGTCAAAGAGTTGTATACGCTGTCCAGGAGTTGTATATCTTTCCCATTGGTTGTATACGATGAGTGTTGGTTTTATATTGCAGTTATGCAATGCTATTATACAATCATATAAAGCACTGAGGGTGGGATAACACATCATATATCTGTAATTTAGTGTCAGTGCAGAATATACTCTAAGTTTAGTATACAAACTCCCTGGTCCTTGTCTCTATTTCTCCAACTTGTGTTGGTGGGGTTGTTGTGGGAGAGGGTCTGGTGTAACACAGAGACTCATGGTATATAGCTTTTTATATGATGTTTATGTAACATCACATTTTTCTGTATAATTGATTTGTTTGTTTTTATGTTTTGTTTCCTTGGCTGATGAATCACTTGATGTCTAATGCAGAAATAGCCATTCTTTACCCTCGATGTGCTGATTGAAAAGTTGTTTATATTCTTATGAAATTGATATGGTCTGCATCTTTAATGTAGAATATTCAGGAAGAATTCTGTTGCTTCACCTTTACCTCACCATGTTTAAAATACTTCTAAGGTCACACTTACTTTCCTGTGTTTTATGAGAAAATTTGAACTAACAAAATGATTTTCTTTAAGTCTACACAATTTAGTAAAGTACATGCCTGTTTTCTTTATTCCCTGATAATATCACTCGATATTCACTTTTATTTGTACTTTTATAAGAATAATCAACAATGCAATTTCCTTCGTGGGTTAGCATAGGCAGAGAGCCAATGTGTTATCCAAAATGAATGATTGCTACATGTATGTTCTCAGCCTGAACTTATGTCATGATGGTCATGATTTTAAATGTAAAATAAAGGGAAAAAGAGTGAAATCATCAAATAAAAGAATGGTATACAGTTTACACTCTAAATAGTTTAGAAATGCTGGCAAATCTGACTTTTGGTTAATTCTTGGAGAGAAATGCAATGGAACGTACATGACCTTAGTGGAATTTTAAACATATTTAGACACCAACCTGTATGTAATATATCATGGCCCTCCAGAAATATCCACCATGTTGAATATAATCAGGTGTTGTTGGAAACCAGAACTTACCAGTTTAAACTATTTGTCTGACTTCTGCCTCTCTGCTCAATTTACATAAAATTTGTAATATTTATAAGTACAGGTGTAGATACTATGTCACGTTAATAATTTGATATCTAATTTGTTTTTGTGGATTTGTAATTCATCATGATATTTTAATAAAGATGATTTTTGTGCAGAATTATATCTTTTATCAATGTTAAAATTGTTCTATAATTTATCTGTTTAGTTTACAATTTTTCTTTAAAATTGGAGATATGGGAGTCTAACCTCGCATCTTGGTGTACCAAAGATGCAGTGCTTGCAGTTTCTTGAACTGGAATAAGAAGATGTTGTAAAAACAAACAGATATTAATAAGATGGGGCATATAAAAAAGGCCCTGTCTAATAAAGGAGGTGTTAGGGGATTTGGATGGTGGGAAAACAAAATATATGCTTACCTAAACGCCGTATATCAGTGGTAAAACAAAAACAACAGCCTTACGAAATCTTGTTGCGTCTTCCTATTGTTGAAAACCCACGCTATCTAATCCTTTCTTCTCGGTCTCTGATTGGTCAGAAGTTTAGGTCAAGGGCTGTCCTGATTGGTTAGTCAAGCCACAAATTCCCAGCGGGGATATTTAAAACCAACTTAAGCCTTGAAAGAGGCTAGACTCCAATTTCTCTGATAAAGCCATTATATTACATATAATGTTTATATATTGCACTTAACATTCCCTGCCATCTATTTATCAGTTTCTTAATCACTCGTTAGTTTACTTTTGCTTATGTGCCCTGAAAACAAAATTAACATTATGCAGATATCAGAGCAGTTTGTTACCACTTTCATTACAATTTATTTACAATTTATTTAAAACTTTTATTCATCCGCCTTGAAATTTTGTAATATCATGCAGATATCAGATAAGATTTGATTTTAAGTTAATGTTTGGTCATTTGCTTTGAAAATGTTTATAAATCCTGAAAGTATGTGTTATGATTTATTATGCAGACATCAGATTGGTCTGCTACTGGTGGCAATGCAAACCTGCAATTTTAAGTTTTTGTATACCTTGAAAACGTATTTAATATTTATTATTATTTGTTATGCAGATATCAGACTGGTTTGCAACAGCTGGCAACGCATACCTACAGAATACAGAGCTTGGAGACTCCTTGATAGCAGCACAAACAGTGCAAGAGGAGCATAGCCGATTTGAAATTGATGCCAGGGTAAGACTCTTATACTTATAGTCTGAGGTGAATCGGTATCTTTAGCACAATATATATATCCCCTCTCATACACATATACAGTCATTATGGAAAGAACTTGATATCAGGAAAACTGTTTATTTTTACAGAAACGTGTATTTTTGTCAACTGTTGTTTGGAATGATAAATAACTGCAAGACACTTCCACAACATAAATTCCAATAAACAAAAAAGCTTTAACTTTAACTTTAGCTTTAACTTATTATACCAGTGCTAATATTTCCATATACAATTGGTTATAAGCCTGGCTTCTCTCCTCTGATACAGCCATTTTAGTCACTTATTATACCAAGATATAACAAGATATAAATTGTTATGAAAAACATTTCCGTATTGTATATATTTCTAGGAAACACAAGACAAAGTGTTGCGTCTGGTACGCTCAGCAGATACATTGCTGCACGGCGCTCACCCAGACATAGAAGGCATCATGACAAGGCTCAGAAACATAGACGAACAATGTGAAAACTTCATGCTAAGATTTGACAACAGACGTAAAAACGTTGCTCTGTCTGTAGCATTCTTTAAACAAGCCCAACAGGTATTCCTACTCAAAATAATTTTGATACTATAAATTGGGAATGTGGGAAAGCATAAAACAGAACAAAGATGGTACATTTTGAGGTATTTATATTAAAAAAGATGTTCGTAAACACATGTTTTTTTCAGCTCATAACATTTTTTGAAATAATCTTAGCCATATTTGCCGGATTAATATTCACTACTTGATAATTTATATTTAGGCTTTAAGCAAACTTGACGAGATAAATGTGCAGTTGACCCGCACGGACCTACCTAGGAACAGCTCGGCCCTTGCAGAACGTCATGCCTATCTTTCTAATGCCATAGTAGAAGTATCTACCCCCGCGCTCCGAGAGGGCCGTATCTTACTAGAGAGGGTCAGTAAGGACGACTCAGGAGCGGATGGTGTCAGAAATAAGGTAGGTTATGTCTGTTATGTTTTTCCAGTGGACATGTGTTTTGGGTAATGTATTAATGTATTTGAATTCAGAATTGGGTGGAAAAGAGTGGAATAAGCAGGGAATAAACAGGCGTGTAAGGCAAGACTTTTTATCAAAATAATGAAAAAGCACATGCGTCATTCAGCTTAGAGAAAAGTAACATGGAATAAACAACTGAGGAGAAATGTTTGCCAAATATTCCTCTATTAAACCAAAGAACATTCATAAGTTGAGGCATGAAGTTTATATTGTCAAAAGTTTAAAATTCAAACATCATGCCTTTTCTCACATTAAAATTAAAATGGAGGAATTGAACTGGTATTGTATTTTTCAGATGGCAGAGTTGCAAGGGAGAGGAGTGACACTGGAGGAGCAGTGCAAGGCTAAAATGGCTGTATCAGAAGAAAGAAGCCAGGCTTATAACCAAGTGCAGGTAAGGGAAATCAAGAATACAGAAATGTTTGGCATGTTAATGTAATAAGTACAGTATGTGACAATTAATATTATGTTCATAAATGAATTGAATGTGAAGATAATTTCCATATTTTTATACCAGTATATTAAAGTAGACAAAACAATGCAGTTGTAACATATATCGTGTATTTCATCACTTTTTGTTTTGTGTTGTTTAGGAAACATACACCAGTCTGCACACTTGGATAGTCCAGATAGCCCAGTCTCTGCTAGGACAACATAGGGACTTGGGACATAGCCTTGCTAATGCTCAGGACTTTTTAGAAACACATGAACAACTTGATGAAGAAATGAGGGTGAGTCTGGAAACAATTCATTATTTTATGGTTGTGTCTTAAACTTAGTCTACACTTCCCTACACTACACTACAACATTTAAGATTAGTTTAATTGGGGGGGGGAGGGGAAGTTATATAGGAAAACAAATGAACCAATTGAGATAAACATGAAAAGCCATCTCATTACTGTTCATAGAAATAATGCTATGTTATGTTCGCAGAAGCATACATACTACCGAAGCTACATACCACTCCAAGCATGTCATTGGGACACAAAGGGCAACATCTGAAAACAATATTCAACACCGAACCCCAATAACCACAAAAATGATAAAAATTATTTTCTTTGTTTCAGGACAAATCACCAGAAATTGAGTCCCTGTTGACAATGGCCGGGCGCTTGGTCGAGTCAGGAGACCAAGGAGCTCAGCAATTACAAGAGAAGGCTATAACTCTACATAAACAATGGCATATTATATCAATAACTGTAGAGAAACGCATTAAATTAGCCCTTCTCTATGTCTCATTCCATAAACTAGCCATCCAGGTAAGACTTTAAACAGTGGGGAATAAGTGTAACACATTTGAAAGAGAAAGCGCAGATTGATTTGTTTTTCTGTTGACTCTCAGCCAAATAGTGGGCATTCTTAGTCCTATAATTGTTTTGATATATACAACATTTTCGGAACTGTTTTAATATAATTTGACAAAATTTGAATTTTTTGAAAACAATATTTCTTGAAGTCGCAAAATCAGTCAACAAATTGTGACCTTGTTGAACAGAGTCAGTTGAATTACCCAATATTCAGGATCCCACTGTTTCTCTCAACTTATATATTAATTCACTGGTCAACCTCATCAACGTGACAATCATATTTCAGTTTATTTCTAAAACTTGTCAAAATTATTCATAATCAATATTTTGTATTTAGATCTCAATTAAACAATCACCTTATAAAATCAATTTCTGTTAACTAGACCACCAGATTTTGCTATATCTGCCAATAAGAAATAAACTATATAATCATCTATATTTTTTGCCTAGCTTGCCCACCAAATGGACAGTGTTGAGGTAGTGCTGTCTCAGGAGAAATCCGAATTACAGTACATCCCAGACTCTACCATACAAAACACTGAGCAACGCTGGAACACAACACAGCAGCTATATAATGACTTCCTAAACAAGGGGAAGACATACATCAATGATATCTCACAGGTAAACCATAGTCATGAGATTTTATCAACTAAGAATTTCTCATTTTAAGAATGTATACAATGATTATTCATAGGCCTGTGGAAAAGTAGTAGTAAGCTAGGATAGCAACAAGTTAACAACTACAATTCTTTTAGGAAAACTTGCCAATCCTCGTTCTATAGACCAGCTCACTTCTACTTATCTTCATGCCTATGTATACACTTAAAAGTAAATAAATATATAGAAGCTCCAAATTAATTTAGGTTGACTATGGTTACATGTTCCTCGGATATGTTTTGTTTTAGGTAACCAATGATCCTAAACTGGATGTGAAGCGATCTGTAGTAACCGTGGAAACAATTATGTCACAGTTCACCGAACGAATCACACGTCTTACAGAACACTGGGAATCTTGGAATTTACATATAACCACTGGTCGCCAGTTCAAAACACAATGGCACCAGTTCATCCAAGATGCTCGCCGGGTACGTATCCTGTCTTGTCTCTATGCCTGGCTTGTCTGCGTTTTGTTTCTTGTATTTTATGTTTAGAGTAGTCATAGTTGACATTGTTTCACTCACTCAATAATAGAACTATTCACTTAATACTAGAGCTACTCACCAAATAGAGCATATTCTACTGCATATGTCCATGTACGAGGGTTGTCCCATAAGTCTTGAAATTTTTATTCTAATTCAAAAATATTTTAATGAATTTGGCTGAAAATTGGTATGTATTAAGATCAATCAATTATCTTCAACATGTGATAGTCTCATAACAAAATTATGAGATTGAGTAACTATTATGGTTACTATGGTAACCGGGGGAGTCGGGGGGTGGGGCAGTAATGAAATATAGTAAAAATGTAAAATGGAACCATGGGTGTATTACGGATTTTAAAGGATGGTATACATCTTAAATTGCAAAGCACTTGTCAAGATTGACAGAAACACTATATTCTTGGTAAAACCTTGTGAAATACCTCTGTGATGTCATAATAAACTAGAACAATTGCTCAATTTTGGTACAGAGACACAGCATTTTAAAAATCAAAATGGCAGGGATTTTGTCACCAGATGTTAAATCTTTGCGTGCAGTTGTGCAATACCACGCCTCTTTAGGGCATACACCTACACAAACAAGAACAGCCATGGAAAAAGTATATAGACAGTATACTCCGAGTGCACCTACAATATGGAGGTGGCAGAAGAAGTTAAAATCTGGAGATACCAGCCTGGAGGATGCTCCTAGAAGTGGAAGGCCAAAATCCAGTGACGATCTCATTCCACATATTGCAGAGAGTATAAGGGCTGAAAGGAGAACTACTTGTAGGAAGCTCGCCCTAGACTTTGATATTAGTAAGAGTACTGCCTACAGAGTGATGAAGAAAGACCTTGGGATGTCAAAAGTAGCCCCTAGATTCGTCCCACATATTCTGACAGAGGAGCAGAAAAGGCAACGTGTTGAGCTGAGCCAGGGGTTCCTAAAGCGCTACACAGCAGAAGGAATGGGATTCCTGGGAAGAATAGTCACAACTGATGAGACATGGGCTCATTATTATGAACCTGAAACAAAGATGCACTCCATGGTATGGAAAACTCCAGGCTCACCACAACCCACAAAGGCCAGACGTGCAAAGAGGCTCAAGAAGGTGATGCTAGTTGTATTCTAGGATTGCGAAGGCATCATTCTCACCCACTATGTACCCCATGGACAAACCATTAACAAGGAGTATTATTGCAAGGTGAGTCACATGCATGTTAAAGCAGTGACCATGATTCGTATCTAAAATAATAAAATAAAAATATAAACTAAATGGGAGAAGTATTATTCAAAACCATTGATTTCGACACGACACCTATTGATCATATTTTCAGGTTCTCAGGCGTGATCTGTTACGTGCGTTGCAGAAGAAGAGGGGCTTGATGTTAGAAAACGGCATTATCTTCCACCAGGACAATGCTCCAGAGCACGCATCAGAGGCTGTACAGGATCTGCTTGCCATCATGGAATTTGAAGTACTTCCACATGCCCCGTACTCCCCTGATAAAGCTCCAAGTGATTTTTATTTATTCAAAGGGTTGAAAGAACAGCTGCGTGGAACACGTTTTGATGACTTCGATGAACTCAAGAATGTTGTTACGCAACATTTCCTAAGTTTGGAGAAAGAGGACTTCATGGGAGCCTATCTAGACTGGGTGAAGCGACACAAGAAATGTGTTAAACACAATGGAGAATATTTTGAAAAATTATAAGAACTTGAAAATAAAAAGTGCAGTAGTCAATAAAGTACCTAGGGTGTGCCCCTGGTGTTATATAGTATGTCAAAAACATTTTATTGGAAAAATAAAATACAACTTGGGATGTGCTCCCAAATCCATAATTTTTACGTCATATTTTGTATATCTATTTATCCTGTTTTCTGCCCCGGGTACCCCCGACATGCCATTTTAAAGCATCTGTAACATTGCCAAATGATATTAATTTGCTATGAAACTTACAGAAATAGTAGAAATATATCTAAGTTACAAAGTGTAAAATTTTTATCATTATATCTCAAACATTCTATGAATTAGAATAGAAATTTCAAGACTTATGGGACAACCCTCGTAATATTTATTGAGAAAATAATATATGCTATATTCATAGTATATGAAATCTTAACAATAATGCACAAATTAACTATTTAGCTAGTTTGCTTAATGATTGGCTGAAGTATGAGCTTCATTTATTTAATTTGATGAATATGAATATTTATATGCAATTAAAATACAGTTAGGTTAAATCTGATTATTAAGGGGCAATGTTAAGATCATATTTGATGCTGGGCACAACATTTTTGAGCTAAAGTAAAAATAAATACGATCATTAAGGAAAAATGTTGAGTGGGGGATGATACTTGAGGAAGAGGTTATAGTTATGAAATTCAATTCATACTTCAGCTAATGTTGCTAATCTGCTATAAAAATTAAACATGGATTTCTCATAAATTATTTTTGATTTTATAATTATAAATATCACTTTTAACGTTAAGTAAAAACAGTATTTTAAAAAGTAGAATCAAATTAATGATTTTTAAAACTTCAAAATCTGACAATGTCACAGTTGTTTCTTGTATATTCAGTGACTTATATTTGCACCAATTTTTCAATACAAAATTTGGCAAAAATCAAACCAAAATTATATTTAGTTCATTTGAATGACTTGCATGTTTAGAGATGTCGCCTTAGTCTGTATCACTGGGAAGCACTTTATTTGAATGATCATTTTGGAAACAATGCACTTCTGAATTTTAGAAAATGCGCTTGTTATTTTTTTGGCTGTGTAAGTGACTGAAACGAGAATCTTGAAATGGTGCATTTTATACACTGCATCCTGGATGAAATATGATTCAAAATTGAGTTTTTTTTTATTGCATCGTTCCAAGCACACTTTCATATGGTATATACAAAAAAGATTGATGTAAAGTAGTATCAAATGATGCACTAATTATTTTAATTATATGTTGATTAATTAATTTATTTATTTAAGTTTGTTTTACTCTGTCAGCACTTTTCTATGCGCTATAACATGCTAAATCTCTCTTCTCTTGTCTTTTGGGCTCTTTGGTAATCTGCATTAATTAAGACTATAATGCATAACAATATTTTGTTTGTTATATTATATTTATATAACTATGTTCAGTAATTATTATTTACAATATTATTTTTTCTGTTTGAATTAGATGTGTGAGTCTTAGAGGTGGAGTTGAATTAATAAAACTTTAGGAACTTAATTTACAGGACATTTATTTCAGAAATATAAACGATATTTGATATTCAGTTTTAAGTTTCTTTCATATGCATTTCAATCAATATAATGTTTCAGTGTGAAATTGTTTGAATGATCTTGAGAATTGAACATCTATCAGATTATGTTTTTGACTTTGTACATCAAATTTTTGACATCCATACAGAGTATTTGTGACATGATATTGGGTATATATTTCATGATATGGGGGATTAATGATATGATATAGAGAATGTTTCACTTGATAAGGGAATATCTATGACACAGTTTAAGATACACTTTGACATACCCTGGGGAGTTATGATGAAATTTTAGGAGGGATTTATGACATGCTCTATGGAGTCTATATAAATTGATTTGATATGAAAGTATTTATGACATAGTTTGGGGTATTTTTGACAAAAATGTGGATGTATGACATGCTTTGGAAAGGATATGACCTAGAAGTATTTACGACACAGTTTGGGGTATACTATGTGATTAATGACATGTGATAGAAAGGATATGACATGATTGACAAATTATGGGGACAGTGATATGAAGAACTTACAATTTGATTCATCGTTCATTTATTAAAATGAAATAATGTTGAGATTTCAAAGCATAGTCAATGTCACGAGTAGTGACATGTGTTGTGGCTCTATCGGGTCTAACTTTGCCATGTGTTCTACCAATGTCATATATAGTGGCTATTCCTGGTATGGCTTTGACATGAGGTAGCTGTACCATTTGGGGCAATGCCGATGTGGTATTTTGCTATGTGTGTCTAATTCAGGCATGGTGGTGATGTCAAATTTGACTAGTAGCAATTGAGGCTAAGCTTTATGTAGTGGTATGCCATCTTTAGTGGGCATTGGTGATATCCCAATTGTTGTGGGTTTATTTAAAGTATTCAGATGTTATTATGTCTTCTTATAACACCTGTGTTGGTCATGTCTGGTTTGGCTATATCTTATATGATTTGCCAGTATATGCCATAAATGGTAGCTATTCCCTCAGTGTTTAGGTCATTATGTGCAAAATCAGTTTCAAAGTTGTCATCATCTTTTATTCTGTACAAATTGAAATAATTAGTATGCATCATTTGATCATTCGTCCTACAATTGGGGGTCGATAATATTATAAAGTGTGGTTTTATTTTCCCCACAGACAATAGACAATGTTATGAGGATAGAAAACGAGTTTTTCCCAGTGATCGCAGGTGAATTGGGCAATTCTCTCCAAACTGCTGAGTTATATCAGAAACGCCTTGATGAGTTCACTCCTGTGTATAAGGTTGGTGCATATATTTGTTTCTCATCTAGCCAACTGGAGGCCATTTCTCGAAAATATTGTGAATTATGATTCTTTTCATGACATTTTACTTTGTTATTTACATTTGCTATGTTGTCAGTTTGAATTGCATGAATCGTGATTCATGATTTTTTCGAGAAATGTCCTTGGCTCATGTTATATGACCTTATTTTCGTGTAAGGTTTTGTTACATGAGAGTTTGCTAGATATTTTACGTATCAGAGAGGGAGATTCCAGTGAATTGATGGAAAATACACCTAACTCTGCTATTATTGGCTGGTCTAAAGTTTAACTTAGTTGATTATGAGGTACAATGTAGTAGCTAATTAGTGACGTACTAACTGATATTTTCCGTCAATTGATTCACTGATCTACCCTCTCTCTCTGAACATCCCATGGTGGTTGGTCCATTTATTGATAGGGAAAATGTATAATTTGAAGGGAAATAGGTAGGAAGAAGTGAGTTATGAACAAAAGGGAAAATGTATAAAGAAAAAAGAAGTGTACTAATGACTGAAGGAGAAAATATTTAGATAAAGAGAAAAATTTTGACAAGAATGGAAATGATGATGTTATACTACAATATCTGGAATAGGACCATCATGAGATAGTTCTGGGGGCAGTTACAGAAAAGTTAAGAAGTTCATGACTGTCATGTAAAAATGTAACATTCAAAATTTTAATGCAGTTTGGGTTCAGAACCAAAATATATGGAAAATGAAGGAAAAGTGTATTATGAATCATGAACCCAAAACTTCTGGAAACTGCCCCCTGATGGGTATTAAGAACCCAGATTATCAGTAAATTGCAAATGTTTATATTTCCCTGTATGCAGACAATGTCCAATGTTGCCAAAATCGAGGCGGAATTATTTCTACCTTATATAGCGGGCAATCTAGGAGATTCCCTGGCATCTACTGAACAACTCAGATTAAAATTAGAAAGCTTTCAACCATCGTTTAAGGTATATATAATATAATATAATTTTTTTGTGATTTCAATGTGATTTGTGGAAGAGATATTAATGATCGCTATGGGGCAATCTTGGCAGGCCCAATATCTAGACAAAAAAAGAATACACTGTAGGTGTATTACATGCCTTAATAGCGTTTAATTAAAACAAACTTTCCATCGTCCATGTTACTTCGCTAGGCATGTAATGCGAGCAATCATATACATTTTACTATCATATTCTGCTATATACTTAAAATTGTGTCATGGCATTGTAGAAGGCCCAGGAGGAAATTGAGGAACACCTGAAGACAGCTGAGATGTTAGCTGCTAAGGGAGATACACACGGTCAGAAGGACCAAATTGTGAATGAACTATTGAAAGTTCACACTAGATTCAATGCCAGAGTCTCAGAGTACAAAGTGCTCATCAACATGACAATTAGGTTCTTCAAGAACCTACATCAGGTATGTAGTCATATCACTAATGAGCTATAACTATGGATATGTGTTTTGAGGTTTCGCACAATGGGTTATCGCTCAAATGTATCCGTAACCGAATCTAGTTTGAATTGAAATACTATGCATTAATCTGGTTTATGTGTTACAGATTTTGATATGTTGAACTAAAAATGTTGTGCGAAATCTCTAATATCTCACGTGTCAATACTTATACTTGTCAATCCCAATCTGTTCTGAGAATCAACTTGTCAAAGGTGCTATATATTAAGGATGTAACTTTCACTCTTTTAGTTGAATTAATGCTTTATCATATTTTATCCAGACACCCATATACTCAATGTTATGCTTCCTTGCAGCTTGACAAGCTGATTGAGAAGACAGAGGAAGAGTACCAGAAGGCGGAACTGCCTAGTGAAGTATCTAGGGCAGAGATTATGTTGAAGGAACATGATGCTAATAAACACAAGATCTCACAGGTCTACCAACACACTGCTAATGAAGGGGAGGAGATTGTGGTTAGAGTCAGACAACAGGTAGAGTTATTTATATGTTTTTATTTTTATTATTTTTAATGTATTTATTTTTATTATATGAATATGCAAATATCATAGTTATCATGGTATTAAAGGTAATAGATAGTGTAAATACCAGGTCGTTCAATAAGTTCTCATAATTTTGCTCTCATTTTAAGAGTTTTTTATATTTTTCCATGAAAATTTCACAGACGATGCAGAATGTATCTGTGTAACAACCCTGCAAAAATTAAGTTTTAATTCTAATGGTCGTGAAAATGGCGGTTGTTATAGTAACATGAAAAATGGGTAGGCGGGGCAGATTATTTGACGTCATAGTGGCATATAATTCAGTTCAACATTGTGGAGAGTAACAAGTGTTTTAATGTCATGTAGTCCCATTTATCCCATGAAATAGTATGGGGTAAATGTTTCTATTCCTACTTTAAATGCTCAAAATAATGTCCATTGGATGCGACACACTTTCGATGACGTTCTACCCAATCCTGGAAGATTTTATGGAATCCATCAGGAAATCTAGCTCTGAGAGCATTTTGGACTGCATTCTGCAAATCTTCTGTCGATGCAAATCGAAAACCTCTCAGCTCATCTTTCATTCGGCCAAACACGCCAAAGTCGCATGGGGCTTCATCAGGTGAATATGGTGCCTGTGGGAGAACTTCCATTCCGAGTTCTCCTATGGTGTTCAGTACAAGTTCTGCCCGGTGACACGGGGCATTATCCTGATGAAATATTCTTGTCGCCAACTCTAGGAGGGGGCGTTTCTTTGAGAAGGCCCGTTTGAGATGCCTCTTGAGAACCTGAAATAGTCAGTAGGATAGGATACTAATGCCTTTAACATTTGTACTTAACCATTTTTATAGTTCAAATCTGATTTTAAATTTGATTTGATTTAATGTTTTTACTCTTATATTGATTAATTTATTAATAATGAATAAGCTTACCATTGCATAATAGTCCTTGTTTATTCTCTGACCATCAGGAATTGCATGCGTAAGCAGCACCCCAGAGCTATCCAAAAACACAATGAACATCACCTTGCCGTCATTTTTGGTCAGTTTTGCCAGGGTTGAAATGGGAGTAGGTGAGTTCTTAGTTCTCCAACCACTTGATGCTCTCTTCCCAAGGGGCTCATAATAGCTGACGTACACCTCGTCGCATGTGATAATTTGTTGAAGAAAACTATCCCCTTCATCTTGGTATCGTCTTAGAAATTCTTGGGAAACCTCAACTCTGCGGGCTCTCTGGTCACTAGTTAACTCCTTTGGCACCCATTTAGCACACATGAGGTTCATTTTAAGCTTCTCTTTCAGAATGAAGTGTGTTCTACCTATACTAATGTTCACATTCTCACTAAGTTCCCGTACAGAGATGCGGCGATCATCATCTAGAACTGTCTTAACTCTTTCAACAGCCTTTGGGTTGGTGACTTTTACCGGTCTGCCAGTCCGTTTTTCATCCATCACAGATTTTCTTCCCTCTGAACCAAACCTTTGATACCATTGGTATATGGTAGGTGTGCTCATTAACTCCTTTCCATAAATATCTTGAACTGCTTTTATTGTTTCTCCTCTTGATTTCTTGGATAACACACAAAATCTTATCACACTACGGATTTGAATTTGAATTTCATCTTGACTTTTCACAAGACCACAGTCAGCTGCCATCTTGGGTCTCTCTATTGAAACCTTTTCTGTGATGTCATACCTTTTTATGTGATGTCACAGTAATAACTATACTCAGAAAAGTTGCATCTTTCACACTGATGTCAAAACCTGTTTCTATGGTTGCAAATCTTTCAGATAAAACATATGACATTTCAAGATGAAATCTAACTACATCCATGGATTTTACGATCAAATAAAGTTGCCCCGCCTACCGATTTTTGACGTTACTATAGCAACCGCCATTTCCACAACCATTAGAATTAATACATAATCTTTGCAGAGTTGTTACACAGATACATTCTGCATCGTCTGTGAAATTTTCATGGAAAAATATAAAAAACTCTTAAAATGAGAGCAAAATTATGAGAACTTATTGAACGACCTGGTAGAAGATAAAAATCTAAGTCTAAGATATATTTGGGTTGATTTAAAAAAGGTCATTTTTTGCATTGAATCAAAATACATTTTTATTTAATTCACAATACATATGAAATATTGTTAAGTAATTTACAGTTGACTTAGACTTAAACTTATCAATTACCGAAAGCTTGAGACATAAAGCATGGAGCTTTAAAACCAGAATGTGTTAGTTGAAATGTGTATCATATTGTGTCATGTAATGATTCAGGACTCTGAAGAAGTTGCTACTAAAGAGGTGCACAAAGTTCTAGAGATGACAGATTATCGTAAGAAGACATGGGAGGAAATGTGGGAGGACCAAAGGAGGAGATTGGAACAAAACCTACAGATCTGCCAGTTTAACTTTGATCTCAGACAGGTTAGTGAGCCTACTTTTCTGTGCAGTTATATTTGATTTCATGTTTTATATACATACATAGATACATGTAATTGTAATCCTGATTATCTCGATGCACATCACTGATTTTCTCTCTTAATCTAAGATTGTTTTTTACTTGCAAACACTGTTTGGTGCTTTTGTAGATTCACAATGAGATCACAGACCTTGACCGACAGTTAGTCAGTCGTAAGGGTAACTATGGTAACTCATTATCCACAGCCAAGATGACATCACAGACATTCAAACAATTTGAACTTACGATAGAATTGATTGAAAAGAACATTCAGAAGTTTGTGAGTACGGCTGAGTTGATGCTGAAAAGTGGCCATTATGCATCTAAACAGATTAGAGAGGAGGTTGCAAATTTGGAAAATAAATGGTCTTCCTTCCATACCAGTGTCTATGAATATAGGGACCTACTAGAAGTATCCATATTGTTCTTTGAAATACTAGAAGAGGTAAGTTTATTATATCTTGGCGTGTATTCTGTAACATTTACCAAAGGGCCTTGTTCTGGAAATATCTGGAATTATTTTGTCAGAGTAACAAAGTGAAAGACAACTGCAATTCACAAATAAAGGTCTATGGTCTTTGAGTATGCATTAAATTACATTGATAATAAGTATTTGTTGTTCAGGGTTCCAACAATTTTAATGTTGGCACCTATTTTATGTTATACCAGAAATCATTGATGCAACAGTAAGAACAGTTTAAAGCCTTCACTTCACTCAAACATTTTGTGATTGATATTTAAATAAAGTAATCATAGTTTATTGGATTGTTTTATTTCCGTTTTGTAGTCTGAAAGCTGGGAAAAGGAAAGCAGTGAACTTTTACTTACCATAGGGCGTAAATCAACAGAATGTAAGAGCCCTGAAGATGCTCATCAGTTGATTATTTCACTGGAAAGCTTCCTGAGGGAGGGACAGCCTAAACAAGAAGAGCGAATAAATAAATTATCTGAACTAGCTGTTCAACTCTATGGTAAGTCCTCATTTATATTTTATCACTACCAAAGTGGTGGCATATTGTCAATGTTCGATGGTCTGCATTTTTGTAACAAATGGCAGGTAGTGACATTTTGCATGTTAATGCCTTGTTGTTATAATTTTATCACTCAAATAAGACCAATAAGAATTTTTAGTTAGTTACCGTATTCTCTGTAATTAGCGCCCAGGGCGTTTAGAAAATTGAGAATACATTATTTAGACCATTCTAATAAGCGCCCATGTATGAAAGAAATCAGAAATCCCGAGGAATTTCATGTATGGCAATTTTTCTTGACAAGAATGCATTTTCTTCAACATATTTTTATAATAATATGACAAGTGCTGTTATTGGAGAGAATACGGTAAAGATCGCTTAGACAATATTGACAGTGGTTGAAGACCCGTCTATGTCTAATTTATTTCCGGCACGCCCACTTTGTCATTATCGCCGATTACCTTCAATATTTCCACTAGAGACTGCTGGATATCGATCTAAAGTTATACATTATTTCTAATTTGATGAGAGATCATCATTATTCGTGCAAAAGTCGTGTAAAAGTCGAGAAACATTAAAAAGAAACCAGAAAGTTCACGACCTTGACATGCGCAGAACATCTGCGCAGTAGCTTTTGAAATTTCTGAATGCCGATAAAGAACAATTCCTTCATTCATTATGGACTATTTGGAGACAATATTAGCATGGTATGGTGTGGGAAGCACCCATCGATAGATATGTATCGAGAGGATGCATAGAATTACAAAACGCGTCGTGTTTACAGCAGTTTTAGGGTAAGTACTCTATTATCGCCCGCTCCTGGATTTTGAGAAATATTTTTTTCCTGATATATTCTTCAATTCTTGTTGATTCCTCGATGTTTCTTGAACTTTGTGAAGCGGGGTGGGCGCTTATTAGAGAGTGGGCGGTAATTACAGAGAATACGGTAGTTAGTCAGGCATCTAAATCCTAGTTCTTGTCAGGTTTAATTTTCTCAGAATCCATGCAGAATTCTCAACCAAGATAAAATTAAACATAATTTTTTACACTTGGAATGTTAATGAAAAAGATTCTTCAGAAATTGATAGGTATGATTTTCTCTCCCTGGATTTCTGATTTGTTTCTTAATCGTCCTCTAGTGCAAATCTCATACCTTGTCTTTCTTTTACCATTGCAAAATACTAAGTGAAAAAGCTTGATTTAAATTGGTTTTTAAATGTGCATTTCCACACAGCTTTGTATCACCTGTGTTTTTGGTTTCCCAGGGGATATAGATACATCGCCCTGTGTTGAGGCTACATTTTTGTTTATATCAGTTTACAGTTGATATTTAACATATCGTGCCTTAGATATAAATATTCATAAAAAAGCAACAGGTATCTCATCTCAGTATAAATATCTTACCTAGGATTATGATACAGATATTGCTTGGGAATCATCAAAGCAAGAACAGAAAAAATTGCTATGAAATCAATTAGGAAAGAAGTATGAAGTATAGGCGAATAAATTGGATTTTATGGATTTTTATGGATTAAAATTGATTTAATCAAACAAGAAATGATTCTGAAGGTCAGTAGATGTAACATTTATAAAAGGTTGGTAGACAGTATGTAAATCGATGATTATATGACTAAATATCTATATTGTAACAAAAAATGCATTCAGCTGACATCTGTTGACATGATTGTCTAGGTAACCAAGGCCCACAGAGAGTGCGCCATATTGTAGTACGTCACCAAGACCTGCTACACTCTATCAACCAGGCCACCAAGGAGCTTGGTACCTTAAAGGACAATCTCCAACGTAGACAGGAGTCCCCTATGGAGGTAGATTCCACCCAAATACAACCAGTGGTCATTGCCCCAGTGGCAAGTGTGCCTGCCCCAAGGAGACCAACTGTTCTAATTCCCCTGCAGAATGCTGAAATATATGAAGGCTCAAAGTAAGTAGAATTTGCATTATACATAGCATGTTACGTTGGATCATGTTGTATTAACACCTGTACAAGGTAAGTGAGGTTGCCAACCAAAGACTGCACATTTTGTATATATAAACTAAAGAGCCAGAGCAGAGCAAAGAAGAGTAGTCTACAATAGGGCAGATATCACACAGATATCAAATGCTTGAAGGACATCAAGAAATAATTCTGAGATTCTGTCAAACAACCTATTTTAGGAATTCCAGTTCCAACATCACAGTTTGCATTTCATACTTTATCATATATCATTTTTATATTCCATCTAGGTTCACATTTGAGTGTCGCATTGACACAGACATGGAGCCATCTGTCCAGTGGTTCAAGGATAACCTGCCATTGAATAGCCCTGATTATGAGACTCGCTACGATCGTGGCCAGTGCACGCTTACGATTGAAGAAACATTCTCTGAAGACACTGCCCTCTATACTATGAAGGCTAATACCCCTGCGGGACAAGTGGAGACATCTGCTAACCTTACAGTCATAGGTAGGTGATATTTTATATATTTACAATATTTCATGGTTCCGAATATCTTAATTTATTGTTCAATCATGATTTCATTCATTTTCATAATCAGGCTTGTGTTATGGCATAGTATTACAGAGGTAGATTTTATATAGAATGTTTCAATTATTTGTATTTGATATGTACATTCGTTGTTAATATGTACAGAATATTATGTTTTAGTCTTTCTTGACTCCATAAATGCAATATTTATGTGTACATGTTTAACTAATACAATCTATATCTTTTATCATTCACTTATTTATATCTTATAGTTTATAACTCATTCCATATACTAACATTTCAGATTTCAATTTATCGGATATATCATGTGAATCTGGGGCCCAGTCAGAATTTGAAGATTTCAGTGAGACACCTTGTTGGAATTTCATCTACCTGTTCTCATCTTCAGTTCCTACCTTTTCATATTCTTTATCTACACTTTCACACCCCCTTGGTATAGATAGTGTTTAGAATGTCACATTTATGATGAATTTTATTATAGTTTTTCACTCATCATTGGCTGAATTGTGTTTTCATTTACCTATCACGATGTTGCCATGGTAACATGGTGAAAGCTTTTTGGATGTCATGAATTAGCCAATGATCTGTTTCAGAAAGCACATCAAGTGAAGGTCATATTTGAAACACATTTGAGTTTGTGGCAAAACATTTATATACTTACCTGATTCCTATCTCCTAACTATTACCCTACACCATTTTGGAATTTTCTCAGTTTTATCTTGAAAATTTAAATGATTCAAAGCACTCACAAATAAATACACTGCATTCTATTTTATATAGCACTCCCAACCAGTGAGCCAAAATCTCCCAAATCTCCCACAATGCACTCAGCCGTATATCGGCATTTAGGTAATTTTGAATTCAAGCTTGGAAAAGGTGCTAGTAGCATGTAGGACCGATGGACCCTATGTCCTTGGTGGGACCTGAGATTCATGATAGGAACGTATATAACCTCCTTGATGGGACTTTTAATGGGACCTTATGTCTTGGTTGGGATATTATATCCTTCTTGGGGAATGGGACTTTATGTGTTCACTTTGAAAAAATTGTCTGATTGGACCATATATCAGCAGTGGGACCACATATCATGATTGTTATAAACTAGATGAGTTCATGATAGGACCTTTTGTCATTTGTGGATGCAAATTAAATGGACTGGTTGGGACCAATTATACTCAGACAGTCCAAGTGGGAATAGAGCATGCTTAAGTAGCAACATGAGTGTTTAAGAGTGGATGTGTTCACTTGCTTGGTAATGGGGCTTGCTTATCATATGTTGACCAATAGATCTCACGAATCTGCCTTTATTTGTGTATTACAGAAACACGTCAAAAAGTCACACCACCGACTTTCTCTCGTAATTTGAAATCAATGGACATTACGGAAGGTAGTCCGCTAATCCTTGAATGCCACGTAACTGGTATTCCTAACCCTACAGTATCTTGGTTCAAAGAGAATGAATGTGTTGATAATTCCCCCGATTATGTTATAACAAAAATCAATGGTACTTGCTGCCTGAAAGTGCGACAAGCTGGTCAGGAACATGCGGGTAGATTTACTTGTAAAGCCACAAACCCGGGGGGTGAGGCACAATCTAGTGCCCGAATAATTGTTCTATGTAAGATATCTTATATTCTAAGCATGATGCATGGAGCACATGTTTTCATACTATTTGATGCATCCCATGTTTGATCCTTTGCACTTAACAAAATATTTTAATATTCTCTCAATCCTCAATATTTGAATTGAAACTGCTAAATCAGATATTTGTATGAAGTCTTGCATTTAAATATTTGAATATGGAATATGAAAATAGCGATTTTCTGAACCTGTTGCCATAACTAGTTTAAATGGGTGTGTGTGTGGTGCTTCTTTCTGCTCCCCATTGGATGACACTAATCTATTTTGGAAAAACCAGACGAGCATAGAGATATATAGAATGCCTACAGGTATAATGTTTTAGTTGCTACGCACAGCAAGCTTACATCAACATTCCACAGGCATAACATACACTGTAGTTTATGCTTTGTACAAGTAGTAATGAACTGGGGTGCACATTTTGCATTCACTAATGATTTTTGAAGATGTGTCTTGTTGTTTTTTCCCCATTTAAAATATTTACAACTCGATGAAAAAATCAATATGGAAAACTGATCTTTTATAGCTTAGTCCCATACAGATTAAACAAATTACAATACATAATTGTCTGTTTATCAGTGCTTCATTGACATCCACTCACCTCCTTGATCAATCATTTATCTCACCTTTTTTAAAAATAAAATTTTATAAATGACCTGGTCACCTGGTTATTATTTTCCAGAGAATCTTCTGCTAAACAGACAATTTTAATATAGGGGCCTTATTCTAAATGTTATGTAAGGTTAATAATTACTAACCCTGCCATGTAGAAATGAGTTTTCAATTCATTATCAGGTTATATATATGCACAGTAATACTTGTAGTTTTGTAGTTAAACAAGACAATATCACTTATGAATAAGTATTGTGGAATCTTATTTATGTTTTTCAACCGATTAACTGATACCCCTGCATTTCAGAGCATTTAATAAAATTTATAATCTGCAGACTTTTCAGATTAGCATGTCAGGACAAAACTTTCTTTACTTACAGTCGATCTTTTGGTTTTTACAAGAGTTATTAGAGATTTTTTATCAGGAATGGAAAATATCATAAATTAAAACTTGTGTATTTTGTCTTCCTCTTAATGTTTTGTTGTTTGATAGTAAATTAGCTTCAGCATTTGATATCAAGAGACAGGCTTTAGAATAGATTACACTCATATACTTCCAATCTGAGGGTTTTGTGGATTTTAAAATATATAACCCTTTCATGCGCCTGTTTTCTTATCTTAAATGTTATGTAATAAAATACAAATAATGAGAAAAATCATGAAATCATAAATCATAATCCAAATTCATTTGCATGAAAGCTATAATATGAATAATACTTTCAGCCTTGAAGAAGCCTGAAATCACAGACCCACCTAGGAATCAAACAATACATGAAGGCAAATCTGTGAAGATCTTGTGCCGCTTTGTGGGATGTCCTGTACCTCAAGTGACATGGGTGAGAGGGAATCAACCCATACTCCCTTCTAGTGTATTCAGGGTAAGTCGATATTTTCCAGTATGAACTCCTTTTTCTACCCTTTGCATTAGTCTGACTTATAGCCTCTTTAAAAGAGTGCTTTGTCCAGTATGGGAGTGCTAGGTGCTTATGGGTTTTAGGATATCCTTTGATGTTTGTGAGTCTGCTTTCTCTGTGTGTTTATAGAGGTAAGTGTTGTTTATTTCAAGTAAAGCACAATTTGTGTACTGCAAATTGATGAATAATGTTGAGATGACTTATTGCCAGAAAGTACCAACTTCTTCCTTAAAAGTGTTATTTGTTAGTACACAGATTTAAAGTAGGATAAAAACAATTTTCTCACCAAACAATAAATAATATCATTGGAAAATTATCAAAAGTCAATTTCAACAAAGGTGCATTATTAAGTCTTTGCTTTCTTACTATGATGTTACGATACATATCTATCATCACCATTACCCCTCCAAAAATAGGTTTATGATTTTTTAGTTATGAAAGCTTATGAAAATGCACTTCAGTGCATCAAGTATACTGTTCACCTATTTCCTTAACATATGCTATGAAAGTGCCAGAAGTTTTTACCATGCATTTCACCCTGTTCTTTTAAGCTGGTTTACAATACAGTGGATGTGCATCCATATTTCTCAGCCTTAGGTGGCTACCTATTGTCCAATGCTATTTGAGTTTCAAGGTATAACATGTACTACAAGACTCTAAGAGCTCAATGTAACAGGCCATGCCTTCTACACCTATTATTCAATACTATTTGAGGTTCAAGGTATTACTATGCCTCTAAGAGCTTTATGTAACAGGCCATGCCTTCTTTTCCTTCATCATACCTTAGAGATGGTCTGGTAAATGAGAATGTGTAGCAGCTAAACATAACACTCTTGCAATGTATTTTTATTCACTCTAGCTTACATTCGATCTGCTTCACTACTTTGACATTTAAAGCAAAGCACAGTTGTATAGTATATAGGGATTGATGGGGAGAAACACCTGATGTGTTGTTCCAGTTTTACTTTACGATGAGCAAATGGGACCATCTAAATATAACATTAGCTTTGCATAGTCACACATTTCATTCCTTTTCCATATTTTCATCAGTTAATACAGATGAAATAGATATTTGTTCTTTTAATGAAAGGTCTATAGCTTTAATTTGGTATATGATATGTCCTTTTTCTTCTCAAGACTTTAAAAAAGGACCAAAAATAATGCTTGTCGTAGGATATTCTACTCATCTAGTCCCTTCAACAGAAATATCTAAATCTTCTATATTTGATGAGTTTCAATATGATATCCAAAATTTTAATTTGATTTAGTTTGTGTAGGTGTACTTCTGTTTGGATGAATATTATTTCATTATGCGTGATGTTACACATTTAGGCAAATAAATGATAGGATTCTTATGTAGCCCATTACCTAACTTCATCTCTGGGAGTTTCACCTGCATAAGAGACTCTGAGAAACCTGATAGATTTTCTGAATCTGGTTAATTAACACTCCCTTATGCATATCAAGGAGTTCGTTACAGAGAGGGGGCACATTGGTGTATTGCTATTTATATTTTATTCCATTCCCAACTATTGGTAACTTTTCCCTGTTGTTGAGGATTGTCGGCACTTCTGTTTAGTATCAAATGCTTTTCGTACTGCTACCCAAAATGGCTCCCTGTAAATGTATAGAGCTTTCTAACTTTCTAAAATAAGGTAAGTGGCAAAATTTTCTCATTATTTTTCATCTATATTTTATTATAAATATGGATTTATTATCGCTGAAATTCCCACCAGGGGTTAATAACTTTCGATCATTCATCAAACATAATTTTTGGTAGATTGTGTCATACTTTGAAAGTTTCATTATTAGGGGTAAGTCTCTGTTAATATATTTACATCATTTCTAAACCATCTATGATCTCTTCACATTACAACCAAAACTTAGAGTAGAAGTTCAGTCTGTTATCATAACACAATAGACCAGTAAATATTTTTAACCTTTTCCGTGATTGGAGATGATGCATAACTTAAGTCATAAACAAGGCATATGTAAGGCTAAGGCTGGTAACATAAGGTAATACACACTGTCTCTGAGATCAAGAGGAAACTGGGAGTGATAGGTATGCTAGGAGGTAGGATTTACAGCATAGGCCTCATCTTAGCATGTATTAGGTGAGAACGGTGTTTGATTAAAAATTGAAGTTATTAATTGAAAAAATATTTTTGCTTAATTAATGTTTATATTTTAATTTTAATGAAATCTAATAAATAAGATAATGTTTTTGTATGTTCAGTTGCTATTCTCAAAAAAATTCTCAGAAAACAAAATTCTGACCCCTTGATATCAAAATTCATATTTTCCAAGATGCAGAAAATGATTGACACATTCATCTACATGTTTATCTTGTCTAACACTTACATATTGTAATTTACATATCTAGAAAATATATTCAGTAATAGTTTTGTACATTCTGTCAATATTCTCAAAAGAATAAAAATTATTGTTTAATTGGTACAGGATTTTTTAGTTTCACTACTTTAAAAATGTTTCATTCTTTTCAAGTTGCATGAAATGATTGACACATTTAATTTCTTAAACTGTCTGTCTAAACATGAAATATTTTATTTATCTCAATGGTTTGAGTCAGCCTAAAATCATTTCTTCTACTGAAGTAAATTCATATTAAATATGTGACACAGATTCCATCAAATATATAAATAAAAACAACATTTTAAATCCCAGATGTCTTTATTTGTTTCAGATTATAACAGATACTAACTACACCAGCCTAGATATACATGAGGCATATCCCGAGGATAGTGGGGTCTATGCTATAATTCTACGCAATTCAGAGGGAGAGGCCCAAACATCATGTCAATTGACTGTTGAACCAATGTATACCACCACCAGTGAGGGCATGTCTGAGACTGATGACCAGGAGGCTGTTAAGCCAACATTCACCTCTGAGCTTTATGATAAAGATGTACAGGAAGGTAGCAGAGTCCGATTGGATTGTATCATTGTTGGACACCCTGAACCAGAGGTGAGTTATATTGAAAATTAATTTTTGGTTGGATATGTAGGCCTCAGTCACATTTGATCTTCCGCAACCGTATAGTGGCTGTATATTCCCAAAATCGAGAGAAATGCATCATAAAATATAGGGATACATCACGATGTAGATTTCTATATTAATTTTGTGAAGGAACAGTCACCATAGACCAAGGCTTTAGTTAGCAAAACACTACATCTAGTACAAACACTACATCTAGCACAAACACTAGCCTAGTTGTGTATTCATGGGGCTGTCCTTGTTAATGGATGATTATATAGAAGGTTTCTTAGTTATGACATAGAATGTGCCATGGGATTAATATTTATTGGATTAAGTGTACATGTATATCATTGCAGTTGGCTAAACATATCAGTTGTCATGAATCAGTAATGTTTGAAGTCAGAATTTATGCAATTATCCTACTTGACATGTATATTAGTATAAGGTATCAATTTTTGGTTGGGATACTTGTATTGGTATGCATTATAAATGGTAAAATTCACATCTGATGAGAGTTAATGAAATAATAAAAAATTGTATAAAAATAATGCTCACATGTTCACGTTAGACAGGTGCATGTTCACAAACATCAGTTTTACTGCACATGATGACATACAGGTTAAAGTGTGTTCATTGGCCAGGTGTTTCAGAGTATGGAATATATTTAGTTTATGGTTGGGTGGGTGTTGCCTGGCAGGCAGGTCTAAATGAAATAATCTTATATCTATGTATATAGCATAAGCTGAGAGTAACCCGGAAATGAGCTTAGAATAAGTCAAGACATAGCTGGGAATAAGCAATTAAAAAGCAGTGAAATGGTACATGATGTGGTATAAATGTATCATACGTAAGCCATAGAATACACATTAGTTGTAATGTTACATGTCTTAGCTTGAGAATACACATTGCTTCTCAATCAACTATTAATGATCAAGAAAACAAATAGTTCCAACATGAAATGGTGCTTATTCCAAGGATTATAAGATATTGTTTTAGTTGGGGGTTTAGATAATCCAGTAGTTTGATGAGAAAAACTTCATAAAAGTAGAGGTATATGTTGAATAGTCCCTTTAAGGTGTGTCTAGTGGGGGAACTGTTTACCTGTCATTACCTGTTTTTATTTGACACCAGTAAGCAAGCCTAGAAAGTTCAAGTTAATGAAACAGATAATTCTACCTAAAACTGCACTGAGCATGGTTTGACCTTAACTGAACTGTGCTCCTTTAGTAATATACACCATCATCTCAACCACATTATGTTGTGACTGTGGGATGTTCAACCACAGATATGTCTCTAGATAAACTGCCTCTGAAGATGCATCACCTACAACTATGTAACATCAACCTTGCTATTTTTCACGCATTTCACTTTTCACACATTTTCCAATTTTACCACACATATCCAAATGCTTACTTTCTAAAAAACAGATGAAGGGGTGACAATCTCTCCCATGATGCCTTGATTGGTAATGGGTGATACATAATCCCATTATGCATCGGTGGAGAATTCAGACTTATAAGTAAATATCAAGCAAATTCTTGTAATTTGAGAGTAAAAGTTGGAAGTAACCTTCTTGCTTTTACAAGTAGAATCTCTGGCTTGTTTCTACTTCATCACAGACGTTAGTAGAGCATGGTGTTCTGGTAATTGAGTCAATGTGATATGGTCACTGAAGGTTCACTACGTTTTACACAATTATTCCCCTGTTGCCACATCTCTTATTTCAATTCGATCAAAAAATCATTGTTGGATCTTACACTGTGAATTATCAATCAATGAACACATCAGTAGGTTACATATTTCTATTGTAAGCAATTTTTGACCCCTTTGGAAGATGGTGTTACCTGTTGACTGACTGTATTTGAAGTCGACAGTGAAGTTTGGGTTTGCATTTGCATGAGCAGTACGATGTAGATTTTCTACATCTATTTTGTGAAGCTGCTCAGCGCTGTACAGTCGCATAGAGCAAATGTGACTGAGGCTTTAGTTAGAATTGAGGATAACATTTGGTTTGCTAATTCAAATGGAGCAATGGCAAAATTAGAGAGAACAATTTCAAGTTTCCGAGAACTATAGAGAATTTAGACAGAGGTACTTACATTTTTAGTGTCTGATAAGTAACAATATTTTCTGATATCTTCGGTGATTTTTGTCATTAAATGCAAGGGTATCGCACCTGGTAAGCTGATACTGGACCGGACCATACATAAGGAAAGTTAATACCTCTCGTCTCACTAATCGGAATAGAGAATTTAGACAGAGGTACTTACATTTTTAGTGTCTGATAAGTAACAATATTTTCTGATATCTTCGGTGATTTTTGTCATTAAATGCAAGGGTATCGCACCTGGTAAGCTGATACTGGACCGGACCATACATAAGGAAAGTTAATTTTAGAGTTTAAGGCATGATTGCTAGGCTAAGACCTGTAAGTTGTGGGATTATACTGTATATGAAAATAACAAACTTTGTATTTGTGGCCAAGGCTTTTTAAAGATTAGATGCATATTTGTCCAGAGATGTGTATTTCTAAGCCTGACTGGAAACATATATTGTGTCACAATGAGGTGTTATAGAAAATAAAATATGCTTACTTACGAATATATTCTTTATCTCACATACCACTGAGACTAATAAAATGAAGTATCAAGCCAAAGAAAACCAAAATGCCCCTTCATATACAGACTTTAGCACTGAACTAAGATACATGACAGCCAGTGCTTTACTATTATCACCTTGTATTATTTTTGAGAACCTCGTACATCTCAAAATCCTCTATAACACTGAACCATGATTCAGGATGGCCAAATGTTTTACCATCATCAGCTGTTTGTCTTAGAAATGAAGGAACATTTACTTACAGTCAGAGCATAGTTAGCCTCTGAATCAATCAAGATTCCATCTAAATGAAGAACATTATGATCTGTTCTTGTCTCATATCAAAATAACATGGATAATTAATTGAGTGAGAAAATAAGTTTTACTGGTGTTGTAATCTAATTTAAATAGTTTATCATCCAAATAAAAACAGAAGATTAATCGTGAGGCAGGAGTATATCGCAAAAATCAAAAATGACCCTAACATTTTGCTTCCCCACTCCTTTTGGGCATTTCATTGAGTCATCGAAAGAGAACCAATGCCAACTTATAAACACTCAATCACCTGGCATATACTACACATACCCTGAGTACCATATTGAGTATGTACATGAAGCTCTGTTTTAAGGAAGCAAAATCAAACTATTGAAAGGGGTATGTTACATACATAGAAATACTTAATAGATTAACAGTACATTAGTGAGAGGTAATGGAAGGATTCTGTGTAAACAGAGAGAAATATTTCCTATGTCTGTTGGTATATATCATTGTAGGAAAACCTCAAAGGGCCGACTTGTCTATTATAGCATGAGAAATGATGAGTTGTTTTCTTGGCCAGAATCTTTCATAAGCTTAAATAAAACCATGGTCTTTCTAGAGAAGCCTAAATAAAACTTTGCTCCTTCCAGATTTTCCTCTCATATAGTTATTGAGTAGTGGCAAATAATATATATTTTGACATCTCTTCCAAGTAAAGGGATCTGGCTAAAATGGGATCTAATTTTATCTGGCATTTCTATGTCTAAACATTTATTTGTATTGCAAGCACTATTTTGCCAATATATCTACATTTTTCTCTAAACAAATTCCATTGCATCATTGTGTTGTCTCTGAATCCCACTTGACTACTTGTTTACGCACTATTTCCTAATATTTATTATAATTTCATGGGATGTCAGATGATTTCTGATTTTTATCAAACTATAGACAAACCAGAAATGGAGATTCCAGATTTACTAAAATAGCATCTCAACAGTCAATTTATAAGAAATGTCAAGCTGCTTGTTTTATAATCACTAATTAATTAATTAAATATGCTTCTCTTTGATCACTTTCTGGCATTAATCTATGATAATATTTGGCATCAGGATTAAGACACCAAAAAGGATTAGGCAGATTTCAGGGCCAGTGACTAATACATTGGCCCTTAACTATGTATAACATCTTAACATAATTTTCTTGGTAGACATTACATCCAACCTGGCCCTAAACTTGTATAGAAATGTTTATTTTATCCTAGGTTTTCGCAAATATTTTGTAAAGTATCCTTTCTCAGATCAGTGTTAATTTTAGCATCTTCTAGATAGGATACCATAGGTTAGCTTAACCTGCAAGATCAAACTCATAGGAACACTTACCAAACTAAACAAGAGAAAGGGAAGTAAATAAATATCTGGGAATATTATTTCGTTGGAAAGGTTAAAAAGTTAGTGTAAAGTTAAAAACCAGAACTTGGATATAACTAGGAGTTAATGGGCCTGTAAGCTGTAACAATCACATCAAAGCAGGCGAATGAGAGAAACAGGTAACAGCCATATTTTGATAGAGTACTTTTTGATTTATAAAGAGATATATTATAAACTAAACTGACTTTTGGTACATGTTTAAAAATATCTTTTCTGCAGGTTTTATTTTTGAATCTGCTCAAATAAAAGCAAGGACATCCCATGTTATATGAAAATAATGGAAATGTCTCTCATTTTCTGTTTTATGTAAAAATTTTGACTTAATGTTCATGTTAAACTGCAGTTCCACGTTAAAAATAGTTTCAAACATGTTTATAAATGGTCCAAGTCAATGGAGCATTTTGAGATTATATTAGGAAAATGTTGATAGGATTGTTAATGGTTTAATGCAGCAAAACCCTAGCTTAGAAAGTCATTTGGTTCATGCTTATTTTTCTCAATTTTTTCATATGAATTTTTAGGCATTTCTATACAGTTTAGAGTGCTAATTGCATGTTAATGTATTTTTTCCCCTGCTAAGATCATTACCCGGGGATCATTATTATTCAATAAGTTTTGTTTTAATTAAGACTAATATTTTCAAACCAGGAGAATGTATATGTTAGGCTGGATGTGTGACAAGGCATAAATATCTGTACATTATTGACAAAACAGTACATTTCTCTACATCACACGATTGAATCCTATAAGACTTATCCATTTTACAAACTAGGATTATTCCCACACACTTATATTATATTATAAAACAAGTTACATGCATTTTTATGGATTTGTTAGGCTTTGTTTACCCTCAGAGGATAATGGCTCATTGGATTTAAATATTTGACTTATTTTAAGCTTTATGTCTAGTTTTGTAGTACCTGGGTCTTTAAATCTCAGCTGGCTCTTTAGAGGCTTGCATATAGGTCTATATTAAATAGCCTCCTCTTTAAGATAGTGATTCATTTCAAAGAAAAGATTTGATAATAAATAACTGAAAAACACACCTCATCACCAGTGCAAATGTTTCTTTAATGTCCAAATTTGTAATGTACAATGACCAAAGCAGTCTTGCATCCCTGTCTCCCGGCCCTGTCTTCACATCTACTTCACCTGGGTAAGGTTATAAGAGGGATGGGGGGGGTGTTACAAGGACTTGAAGAGTTTGCTAACTTAAGGTATGAAGGATTAAACAGAACATTTCCAATATCTGACATATTTTATATGTTGCCTCACAGTTTAAGTAATCCATTAGCAGACATGATTCCCTGCTGGATCCACAGACTTATCTCTCATCAAAACTAAAAAAAAGTTGAATATGATTCTAATTTGGACGTACATAATGTCAAACATAGATCTATGTGTCATCTAATCAGAAATCAAAAATGTTAAATGATTTTAAATTGCACATTATAGATTGAATTCGATGTTATCCCATCAAACTCAAAAAAGTCAAATACAGCGCTCTTATATCATATCCTGTTCAAGCTTTGTCGAAATATGATATTGCTATATCAGGATAAGTTTAGGGTAAAGACAATAGGTTTTCAACTGCACTTGTTGTACGGAAAGTTGAACATTCTAAATTTCCATTAAACTAAATATAAAACATAAAGCTGTCAGAATTAAGATCTGCATCTTGTATCTATCAACATTTACGAGCCTTCTTGCTCTATTAATGACTTATGGCATAATTCTCAGACATTTTTGTCAATGACTCATTTTTACCTTCGAGAAGTCGGGGATTATTCCTTCGTAATTTCCAACCCAATAGTTCGGTCCATATCTATCAGGGGCCTTTTCCTAGATGTAAGTTTCATATTATACAACAGTACAGACTTTTACATGTGTTATCATCAATAGAAGAAAGACAAATTACATGAACCAATGTTCAGTTGTTAAATATACTCGTATAATCTGTATGTTTTCATTAACCCGTTATTTTGGGCAAAGTTGAAGTGAAGTAGTTAGGGAAAGGGGTGTATAGAGACTTGATGTAAGACTATTAAGTGGACAAAATTTCTACTCTGTTATGGTTGAACGTGTCCTCTGAAGAAATACCTGTCTGAGATTATGGCCACTCCATATGCAAAGGTATCTATCTCTCAGGAGACATGCATGCTTGGAGCGTAACAATCTGCCCTTCATAAGCACCCACCACACACAGACCCCATTGTAATCTTATCACAGGTTGTCATGCTCCGTTGAAATGTTGTTTTGATAAAAGCATAAGGTAGAGCATAGTAGAACATTAGTGAGGATGTTTACCACCATGACTGGACCTTGTGTGTTCTACAACACAGGTAAAGCAAGGTAGAATATTGTTATTAATTCACATATAAAATCATATGCATACATGGATACCTAAAAAAGATTTGATGAAATGTTAAGAAATGGTTTGCATATTTGGATATGCATCCACACTTCTCCTCCAGGACATTAGTGGATATCTTTGATGATGTTACAAAATATGAAATTGATGATAAGGAAATTACTAAAGAAAAGGATATTGCAGAAATCAAAATGAATCAGCAGTGTGTCTATCCTTAAAGAGTATGAAATAAATGATAGCACATTTGGTATTAGTGAAATGAAAAAAAAGTAAATAAGACAAAATCAATTAGCTACTTTTCAATAAATATTTTGTATAATCCTATTGATAATTGTTAACAAAGATGCTTATGTGTTTTTAGGTAATCTGGTTCAAGAACACTAAACCAGTGAAAGAATCCAAGGACTTCCAACTGCTCTTTGAGGGAGACAAGTGTTCCCTTGTTATACGTGAAGTCTACCTAGAAGACGGAGGAGAATACAAATGTGTTGCTAGGAACCAGTATGGAGAAGCAACCAACACTTGTCAGTTACACGTTGAACGTAAGTTTTTACAAAGACTTCATTCAAATGTTATATATATTCTCCATTCAAGGTTAGTGATATGAACTTGGAATGAGTTTAACTTCAGTTGTCATATTGAGTTTCTGTTTTCATCTTGTATTCTTTTCCCCCAAATACTTGCCTGGATGAAAATGGGGTGTATTGCAATTTAAGTATTGTTGGTCAATTTATATGTCTTCAATGGCAGGTGGTGACATTTTGCATCTTGTTGCCTTGTTGTCAGTTGTCTGACATCAGTATCAGTATTGTCATTGTTCACTGCACAGTAGTTCTCTTTCATTATAATATATATCTTGATCTACATTTCGAGGCTAGTTAAGATTTGATACAGAGAGAATCAATAATAGAAGAGAATAGAGAGATATGATCCATGGCGAGGGCTCAGATTCAAAAACAGTCTTTGCTGCGTGTGTAACTTTAATGTATTTCTTGAGACTTATGATCAATTTATTGGAAGTTTAATACTGCATAGTGGTAACACCAATATGGGTTTTCACAACAAGATCTCTGATTTATGTAGCTCTTGCTATAACATATCAACATGCTCTTACCACATGCCTGGTTGAACATCTGATATTCTTGATAGATGATAATTAAACAAATAGATTTTGTTTACACACTATAGCACCTGGTTGCTTGGATGTGGAGGTGATTGTATACCTAATGGAAATGAATGTATCTCTATACCCCACTCAGCAATGTCTCATCTTTCAATGTGGTTATGGTCACCTTTACCTAGATACTCATCCTCTTACATTTTCATCTTACTCATGAGTCTTGTATAAAAAGGGTTCAGTGTAGAACCTATAAACAACCAAAAATTATATGTTACAAGCCTGCAATTTGAATCATGCTTGGAAAAAGTCTTTACCATTAGACTAAGGCCTTTTAAAGTCATCAGGTTGTCGTAAGGAGAGATATTCTATGGAGGGAGATTGGAGTGGCACAGTCTTGTTCAACAGACTAGGAAACGCACCCCAATATCCCAATATGTTTATGAGATACTTCCAATATTGGATTTTGTTGGAAAAATCTATATGAATCTAATTTCTTCTTTCCAACCATGTTGTATCAATTAAGAGAGGAAGGGATGGAGGAGGGGGTCTTAGGGGTGATGATATTTTGGCATGCATATATAAATAATCTATTTATTGCTGAGAGATTTCATTTCAAAATATCCAGTTTTTCAAGATTCCATCCTAGCAGTTTTTAGTAAAGAGAGTTCAGTTATCTCAGCAATATACAGATATAGTAGAATTAATTTAGTACCTGTAGTTCATATCTCCTTGAAATTGAAAGATGGATATTAGAACTAGAAGCTTATAATTCACACCATATGTGTGGTTATCATAGAGATGAAGATACTTATCAAATGCTAGATGCTGCTCAAGATGATAAGAAAGAAGATATTCAGAATACTCCATGGTTCTAAGTTCAGAGTGCATGTTTTAAATTCTGAAATAAGTCAGAATTTGATTGAACAACAAATAGAGTATATCTATATTTTACCATTACATGTATATAAAACTGTACAGAACTGCAAGAAAATGAGGTCTTTCAAACTTAAGATAGAAATTATGTGAGATATGCAAAACCATTGAGGAATTTGAATAAGTGTCATTCTCATTTTATTTCTAGCTCTAAGTGAATTCAGTGACATGTCTGCTGCCAGTGTGACCACCGATGTGGTCCCTCCAAAGTTCACACAGCTCCTCAAAGATATACACACAGAGGGAGACAAGCGAGTGGTGATGACATGTCGTATTGTCGGACATCCAGAGCCTGATGTCTCCTGGTACAGAGAGGATGAGACCATAGTCAACTCACCAGACTTCCAGGTAAAAATAGTCCCTGCTTGGATTTTAGAATAAAATTATAGTCTTGCATAAAGTAGATGTGAACATCTGCCAATTAGGGACATTTTATCATAATGTATATTTTCAAGTTTTTCTATAGATTTTTCATGAAAAGAGAGGAGAAACTCTGACAGACTGTGATTTGAATTTTCATTTTCCTATTGCCAGAAAGACTTTACTAACTACTGCATTGATCTCAACTGGAGCATTTTCGTTTTTTATGCAAGCATTTTTTTATTATTAAGCTTATTGTAAGTAAGCTAAGAGGATTGTGTTATCTAGGTTATAAGCAAGTTAAAAAGCCAAAAGCTTATATTTTACACTTGACATACTTGTCATTTATCCTATGTATTACACTGCTTACCAAATGCAAACCTATTTATTAAATACTGTCTATGATTTAAATAATCTGGATTACTCTACCTTTTTTTCAATGATTGTTTCCCTAAATATAGACCAAATCTCCCTAATATGGTTTATGATAAAATGTCACATCTTTTGGCTTTTGTTAAGTGTATGTTGAAGTCATTCTTTAGCCTGGTCAGTAGTGATGATGCAAATTTGCTCTTGTAGCTGAGTGCTTCCTTTTATGAATTATTTCCTGTATACATTGTAATTATTATGCTAAAATGTGTGATGATTTGTATTATTTATTGTGTTTATCTGTTGTGTAGATATCTGCTGATGGTGAGGTGCACTCTCTTGTGATACCCACAGCCCAACCAGCCGATGCTGGATGCTACCAAGTTAAAGCTATCAATGCTGCTGGTGAGGCCAAGTGCTACTGTGGACTATTTGTTAACCAACCAGGCAAGATGGAGAAAACCTTAACAGAGAGAATAACAAAGACCACATCGATCACCCGCACTATGCAACAAACAGTGATCCCTGGACAGTCACCACCTGAGTTCAAGGCCCTGTTTAGGGATATGAGAGTAGGCGCAGGAGAATCCGTCACCTTTGAGTGTATCATCACAGGCAGCCCTAAACCTAAGGTTTCCTGGTTCTTCAACGGTGATGCAGTCGTCTCACAGGACTACCAAATCACCATGGAGCAGGATAGATACAAACTCCACATCCCTGAGGTCTTTGATGAGGACTCTGGACGATTTGCTGTGACAGCTGAGAACCCATCTGGTAAAGCAACATGCTCTGCCATGCTACAAGTGATTGAGTCCCCAACCCCAGGGGCGGGACCATCACAGATGGATTATACCCCAGAGACTGTAGACACTGCTGCGGCTCCTATACACCCCCAGCAGCAGCCACAACAGTTTGCACCTCCAAGCTCCTACCAGGAGACTATTACAAAGCAAGTAACAAGGCCAGTCTCAGCACCATTCCAGCCGATTGATCTGACTGTGGCGCTACCTATACCCCCCAAGTTTATTGAGCCATTGAGAAGCATTGTTGCCAAAGAAGGCACACGAGTCTCTCTTGAAGGATGTGTAGATGGTAAGGGCTATTCTTACATTGAACTTAATTTAAGATAACACTTCTTGAAATTATCATGAATGACAATTCACCTTAATCATCATTTATGCTGCTCTAGTTTAAGTTGATATTGGGAATTTATAATCTATGAAATCTTTCTCTGCTTCTGTTTAAAATATGAAATAAATTTAACGAATTCCTGATATATTTCTTATTGATCTACAGGTAAACCTGAGCCAACTATAAAATGGTTCAAGGATGGCAACGATGTCACTGACCGTGCCGATTACGAGATCTCATTCCAAGGGGGCAGAGTTGCACTGACCATCCCAGAACTATTTGACGATGATGGTGGTAAATACACATGTCAAGCTCGCAACGTAGCTGGCACTTCATCCAGTAGTGCAGAACTCATTATAAAAGGTATGTGACATATTTTACATTTACATTCTGGGTTGAGTATCAAAGAAAAAGATTCAACTTCATATTTAGTGTCTCTAATGTAAATTATGAAATTCTCTGAGTGCCTGTATTACGGCCACAATGGTATTCTTCCAATCTTTCTAGATACTCACCTCAGACTCATTTCTCAATCTCCATTGGATAGTTCTATTCCAAAAAAGCACTGAGACAAACTCTTGAATTTTGAGTATTGTTCATGCAGTGCAGACT